CAGTACCCTACAACTTCATATCTCCTACCAGGTTATTTTACAGTATTTTAACGAGGAATTATGTTTGTTTTCAGATTCAAAGCTCGCTTAATGGCCACGATCTCGCTTATCGTCCACATGTGTAGGTCGATTACAGGCCGGCCTTTGGGGTTAGAATTGGTTTGTTGCTTCTACTTGTTTACTGTAAACACTCATCGGGTAAGGACTTCAAAAGCATCCACCAATCAACCCTCGGATTTACTGTTATCCTCATGGTCCACAGAGACATGACTCAGATTGCGAAAGGGCAAGCAGTGAAGTTGTCGGTGCCATAGCCGAATTATAACGCTAACATGATCACCATACTTCAAATGTCGTTATTTAATAGCGCTATATGTCAGATGCAATTCCCTTCCAAAGCGATCAGCCAGCCATACTAGCACAAATAATGAGATAAAGGCGGTCTTCGGGTTAACGCAGGAGAGGCGTAAAGCGAGGAAGTAGCTTGTACCGACTCAGTAAACAGATGGCTCAGGTAGTAGGTGGCCAGCTTGAGACCTACATATGTAACTACCAGATGTGTCTTACACCATCTAAATATCAAGCCTTAGAAGCATAACTATCTTCTACGCAGTTTCCCCAGATCGTCACCAGTGAACTTCCTTTGACGCCTGGATTTACCTTTCCTGCTCAACAATATTGTAAAATGACGGCCAACGCGAGGAATTGGTTTCAGTTAGAATGTCACAGTTATATTTAGAGAGATATACAGGCTCATGTGCAACGTTGGATATGTTGAATTAGACTACCAGGCTAGAACAATGCAGCATGAAGGAGCTACCTTGATATACTGAACCGAAATGTATTGTGAGGATCAAATAGGTGAGTTTGTCTTATTCAGATAAAAACTGGAGAAAAAAGGGATACTCTTTAAATACATGCGTGGGATCCAGTTTACTATGCTAGCGACATAGAAACCTCTGTCACCCAGGGGTAATCGACACGTATCGATTCCAGTTGGTTTATCCATGTATGACAACAACCAAGCCAGAATTATGAGTTTTAGCGATGTACTTCAGGAATTGAATTCCCAATAGAATATAAGTAAGTATAATTCTTAACAGGATATATTTCTGGTTCGGTTCAACGTCCAACACTAGAGTATCATCACTGGTTACGGTGGCGGCGACGGAACCAAATATGCAAGAACAAAAAGTCAATAACGCCTACCGCTAGCATTGCTGAAATGACAGAGAATCCCATAATATACTTAGGGCCATCCTTTTCTGGGAACAGGTACTGTGCGTTTCGAGTTAGCTTTGTTGCCGGACAGGGGATATGATTTGTGAGATACGTACCGATCCGTAGATCTGTGCCAAATTACCCAGTGCATTTACCATAGCCAAGGCAACACCTCGGGCCTGTGGGTGCATCCCACCAAAGGCAGAGGAGGCGTAAGCCAGTGTACCTCCATTGGTGGCCCAAAGGCCGGATGCCATGAGAACCAGGAGAACATACCGAGCTGTGAAATTGTACACAGCACAGACAATAATCGAACACACCAGAGAAAATGTCAGCCAGCTGGCAATAATTACGCCACGCCAGTTGGGGACTTTGTCTCCGAAGTAGGATGTGACACCGGTGGCGATAAATGCCACGCCATAGATTGGCACAGTCAATAAATTAATCTTTTTGATGGATGCGTCTCCGAAAAGTCCCTGTACGAGGGTAGGGTAGAAGTACGTCAGGGTACTTGAACCGACGATGACCTATTAAGGATGGCCTGGTTAGTGATGTTAAAGGAAAGAGCCAAAACGGGGATCCGAACCATATATCCAATCACGAACGTCCAGGTGCGAAGGTCTCGGCAAGCTAATTTACAAGCACCCCAGTTACTTAGGTGCTCGGTATTCTCGGTGGTAACGGTAACATTCTGACTAGCCAGGCGTGCCACAGCAATCTGCCTCTCGCGCTCAGAGAGACGTCGCGATGTACCCGGGAAATCAGGAAGAATGAAGAGGGAAATGATAGCAAAACCGACAGTGGCGGTGCCTTCAATAATGAACAGCCACCGCCAACCACGAATCCAATGAACCCCCTCAAGGCCATCAACTATACCGGCAGCGATCAGGCCACCAAAGGCGCCTGACAGGACGGCTGCGGAGATAAACACACCGAATCTCTTGGACTGTTCAGTTTGTTTGTACCATGATGAAAGGAGAAGAATCACACCGGGGGCAAAGCCGGCTTCGACACATCCAAGAATGACTCGAAGAACTACTAGATGAGTGAAATCGTTGATAGCAGCCATCACACAAGTCAATGCACCCCAGAGAATCATGATCGATGGGAGAAAGATAGAGGGTCGTGACCGACCCAGGGCAAGACTGCAGAACAAGGGCAGTTAGCGGCCATGATCTGAGGCTAAGTACCAAGGTTAGGATTGTCCTACTTGCTAGGCACCTCGAAAACCACGTATCCGACGAAGAAGACAACCAGGGCAATTGAATATTCGTTGGATGACAAGTCGAGATCTACTTCCATGCCAGAGATCTTTGCATTGCCGATGCTGTACACAAACGCCCATTAGCACCCTGACTAGTACAAGACCTTTAGCTCTAACATATTCATACTCACTTAGTTCTGTCCAGGTAAGACAGAAGGTACATGACCCAGACAGTCGGCAGGAGGGTGAGATCAATCTTCCTCACCAACGCCTTCTCCTCTTCTGGGCTGAACGAGACACACTCGCTGGTATTCACATTCTCAACCTCATGGGAGGAGACATCCTTCAGTTGGCTCTCAAAGTCGCGGTCCATGATGGCTTGTTGGAAGTGCTAAAGGTTGGAGGAGTAAAGAATAAAATGTTGGGTTGGACATGAACCTCCTTACGGAATGTATACGTTCTACCCCCAACCCCGGATATACAAGGCTAGGGCTTGGGGAAATCCGGACATTTTCTCATATGTAATGCTCATTTCCCCCCGTATTTACCCCCAAAACTTCCCAAGCGCAACTTCCCGCTTTACACGGGGTAACCTTGTGCGATTGGCGTGTGTGGTCGCATCGAGGCCAACGTGGGGCCTCTCGTTCAGCGCCAATCATGCCACTGGGGAGGGTCTAATATTTCCAAAAGTCGCGGAAGGAATAAATTTTGCCGTCTGATCACCCTATGGGGTATCAATACCGCGCCATTGAGCAGTATTCTCACTCACATGGTCAATAAGCAGACTACCTTAGAAGCGTAGCCTTCGCCAAAGTTCACGGGTTTACTACCGAAGCTCCAACCCAGAAATAAAAACGTCTTGGGTACTATGAATGTAGGGATTAAATGTTGGGAACAAAGGTGGAGAGAGAGCTCAAGCTGTATTGAGAATGAGAGGCCCGTTCTGAGGTGTTTCTGTATGTGGTACTAACCTCAATGGCAAGAGCCGAAAGAAAATTGACAGGTCAACTTGCATTAGTTTAATACTGTCTCCACAGCGTTCTGCTTCCTAGTTTTTTTTCCTCGTTATATTTGGTTTCGGATCATTTTCCAAGGTCAAAGAAGCCTTGCATGAAGCTCAACCGTTTGGGGCTCATCTCCATGTGGGTGTTGGTCGATCCCCGCGCCTCGATACGAGGATCGGTCTCGGCCGTCAGTGCAGGCATTGCATAGGTGTTGGATAGGACTCGCTTCGGAGGACACGCTTGATCGCTTACTTTATTCTCGCGGGAAATGACCGTGGGTCGGCCTGGGGTAGCAGTCCTCCAATGCGTGTGTGGGGATCTTTCAACTGCCCCGACGCTACGCGACTCTAGTATACAGAACTCTTCGGTATGTGTTTAGGCGACTTCGGAGTCGCTTGGCTGAACAAAAGGCCACGGCAGATTTAAGAAGGTGCTCTCCCTTTCCAAGTGCTTAACAATTCTTCCAATCGTCCCTCATTCTTACGGCAAACAAACACATCCTCAACAATGCCTCCAAGTATTCACGACACCACCATAGGCGCCTCTGTTGCCGAAGTCGCAGCATCAGCCCCTGCCTTCCTTGACACGCAACCAGGTCCGGACCACGATTGGAGAATTACCCTGAAGGACAAGGTCATTGCCATCACCGGTGCCAACCGAGGTATTGGCCTGGCTATCGCAGAGGTGTGTTTAGCCAACGAGGCAGCAGCCGTCTTCAGTCTGGACGTGTTCGAACCTGGTGAAGAGTTTGTCGCCCTGCAGGACGCCAACCCAAATCGCTTATCTTACGTCCAATGCGACGTCACCTCTGAGGAGAGCGTCAGCTCAGCAATTGATGCCGTCATCTCCGCACGAGGCGCCATCCACGGCTTCATCGCTAATGCCGGCATGACAAAGCACCAGCCGGCACTCGACTTCAGCCGCGCCCAGCTGGACCAACTGTTCAATCTCAACGTCTTTGGTGCCTACTTCTGTGCTACTACTGTGGCCCGCCGCTTCATTGATCTCGGAATCAAGGGATCCATTGTCTTCACTGCTTCCATGACATCTTATCGCCCCAACCGTGCGGCACCTTCGGCTCCTTACGGAGCTACCAAGGGTGCTGTGCGAAATATGACACATACGCTGGCTATGGAGTGGGCCAAACATGGCATTCGTGTCAACTCAATCTCGCCGGGCTTTATTAAAACCGCTATGACCTACTTCGTGAATCAGGCACCAGACTGGAACCTCAAAATGCAGTATTATGGCGGCATGCCCAGATTAGCTGACCCCAAGGAGCTCGGCGGAGCCTACGTTTATCTGCTCTCTGACGGTGCATCTTACACTACTGGTATCGATATTCCGGTTGCTGGTATTGTCGGAGCGTGGTGAGGGAGGGAGTTCACGATAATGATGAAAGAGATGAACTACGGATAATGCATGTGAGGAGACTTGGGGTTCAATTGAAGGAATAATGATAGTCCAATTTCTATTAGTCTCGGCCCCAAAAAGGTCCGCGTTGGAATCAGCTCAATTAAACTCCCTTTAGTATGCATAATTTGAGGATCCTGCCTTGTCTCTGCTATAATTTATACTTGCCATGCTTTCTGGAGTTTGGCAACAAGCCCTTTACCGGGGAATTTGCTGATCCTCAGCATTCTCTCCAAGATGCGAAGCAACTCGCGCTGCATCTCAGGCGACCGAACAAACTGGCCAACTTGGGACTTGTCAGCAAAGGACAGGAACAAAATGAGGAGAGGCATTTACCTCCAAACAAAGCCTGTACGTTAACAAAGGCTATTGCATGTTCATGTTGTTGGCACGCATTGGCGATGCCGCAGACCACCCTGACACTTTCACTGAGCTGTTTCTCGCGGAGACAGTAGGCATTTAGCCCCCCCATCGTGGGTTGGTTCAGCAGCACAGTGACTCTTGCAAAATGGTACATCTGCATAGCGCCTGCGTGATTAGGCGGGTGAATCCATATAGACGGGAATACTGTATTTGAGCTGTCATCAACAGTAACAGTGACCGGCTGGTAAGAAGCGGGGAGGATACTATGCCAGTCGTCGAGTACGCGGAGAAGCCGGTCACCCTGCTGCGTTCTGTGTCTTGGGTCCTTATTTGCCGACATTTCGCCCGATGCGGCATATTCTATACACTTGCCGCAGATGTAGATTATCCGTGTTGCGAGCTCATCCCAATCGAGTTCCTCGAGCTTCTTCCGAGCACGCCAGAAGGTGAGGGTTGGCCGTCCTGCCTGAAAAGCTGCCCAAATGTCCTGCCGGAGCCACGCCCACCATACGGCTCGCCTCAACCCGTCAACGGACTCGCCATCATTGTCCTGAGACCGCTGTATCCAGAACGAGCCTCGCAGGTGCTGCTCCCAGTCACCACTGGCTGAGGCGTTGTCGGCGTCAAACATCTCATACATGCTGATCATGGTGGCTGTCGCCAAGATCTCACGGGATTCCGCATAGGGTGGGTAGAGTAATGTCTGCGAGAGATATTGAAGCGTTTCATAGTAATACTGTGTAGCTATATGTGTTGGAGCAGGGTCTGACTCTGATGACAGGTCAGTCGCTGCTGCTAGCGAGGTTCGAGTACTCGCATTTTGAGTCGCATACTCGCCTGATAAACTTTCATCCGGCCCATGCATGAGACCAAGAGACATATGCTTAGCCCCAACTGCGAGTATCGACTTCAAAAGCCCCGTGTTTCGTATTGCAAGATGCGTCACGACATTAGTGAAATGCCGAGCGGGATCAAACAAGTCTAGAATCGGCCCAACAACATCGATGAAGTATCGAAAGAACTTGAGGTCGAGTGCCGATATTTCTATCCTACTCGTCGTGTTCCAAGGCTGGGATAATTGATGATGGTCTAGCAAAGGGGCTTCGACCACGTCACCTCGATGTTCCAGAGTGAGTCGCTGCTGTTCAGAGTGCCTCTCGGTTTGCTCCGGATGAGCCGCAGGACATTCAGGTGCTGGTGACTGTCTGCGCGAGAGGGCAATTTCGGGAAACCTCCATCGGGGGTCACCCGTCGAAGCATCATTGAGCCTTTGGATGTTGCTAATGGCATCCCGTGCTACCAGATCGAACCATTCACCGGGGGATATGTTGAGCAGGGGTATCTGGCTAAGTGAAAGTGGAGAACCCAAGAAGCTCGAGTCAAGGCCGGACAGTGTCTGCTCATTATCCAAGCAGTCATCTAGTGGCGTCTTGCTTGAGCCGTTGTGCTGGATATGCTGGAGCGGGGCGAAGGCTTCAGCAGGGGTTGGGCAGGTAGCCTGGAAGTAGGGTGTTGGACCAGAACTCTGCTGTTGCTCCTGGGAATTATGCAGTTCCCCCTGAGCGACGCCTGCATTATCGGCACCGCTTCTTCCAGAACGTGAGTCTTCAATCCTCTCTCCCCTTGAATCCGATTGAGCCCTTAGAGACTCATAGTCGGCTCCAGATCCGTTTGCACTTCGCCGGTCATCTACCTGGGCGTATCGACAGATACGATTTGACTTGGAGCACCGCCCGCAAATGGGCTTTCCGTCATCGCACTTCACGCGTCTCTCCCTGCAGGTAAGGCTGTTGTGCGTGTAAGCGAGGTTGATGTTTGCTTCGGTGGCATTCCGAACTGATACGTATCCACTCACCATCCTGTTTTGGTTCTCAATCCGCGGGCGCGAGATAGTCTGACACGGCGACGCCGGGTCCCCGTGGCGTTTCCTTCTGAATCTTTTGCGTGAGTAACATCCATTAGGAATAGTGGTTTCGTCTCGAAGCTGCCAATGTTACAAATATTCCCCGGAATTCATTCCCCCGCCTTGACCAGACCCACTTGGGGGTGGAAATTCGACTGTTCAAGCACAACATTTTAATTCCCCTTCTCTCTGTGCTTGCCTCAACACACAAATCCCCTTTGCTCTCCGTGTACAATCAGACCCTTAAGATTTGGCAGAAACGAAATTAAAGAACTGGTTTTCGGGGTTTCGGGATAGAACCACCCGCTTTATGGTCATGTGTTTTTATGAAGGCTACATACATGTCTAACACTAGTATATCATATATTTAAGAAGGCATATTGGTGTAGATGGATACTATTGTGTCAATAATGTATATCGCAACCCAGCTTTACCGAAGCGTGAATAAACCTGTAGTCCGCAAGGACAATAAAAACAGGACAAGAAACACCACGAATTGAACCATCACCAAGCAGACACTAGCGAATAATTAGCCAGAGAATGATTTTATGAGTTGCCGAGAAGGTTTTGATTTTTAATGTACTGTTAATGCAGGTGCTAACAGACCCACAAGAGCAGCACCGCAAGCGATGCCGATAGTATAACGGCTTGATCAGCCCGATGCAATACGGCCGTACTTGTGAGATCACCACCTGCACATCATAAGACTGCATGTCCACTAGCCGCCGTGACAAACCGACCAATCCCGAGGACCCAATCTTCTACGGTCGTATTGGAGACAAGGTTGTGGGTTGGTTCTCGAGGCGAGGGCCACTGGCCTCGAAGCGAATGATTATACCCGACCACCATTGACCGCCCACCATTCGGCAACAGCAGGTTTGTGCAAAGTCGCCATATTCCCCTTCGTTGATTCACTGACACTGTCGGATCTGAGTGATCCATGACTTCGTCTCGATGCCGAACATTCACGATCCAGTAGTGGCACAATGCATTGATTGCCGTGCACGCGATGGATATGGAATAACGTCTTGGGTATAAGAATCGGCATTCCGCTCGACTTTGTCCGCTAGCCATTTGCAGTTTTTAATCACGAAGCGCTATTCTGAAACAATCAATCTCAAGTCTCGCGGCCAGCCGAACTTTACGCCATGGGATCTTCGCTGGAACTCCTCGAGAAGCCCGCACAGTACTTGCCAGTAAAGGCAGTCTCGGTGATCGGGAATGGGGATGCTGATGGACTCAAATTAGCGAGCCCAGAGAAGCATGAGCGGGTGATGAATGTCTTTCGAGCTTTCATCGCTGACCTCTGCCAGCAGTACGGCGAAGGCCATGCTGGGTAAGTCAACGCCCTCTTCGGGAACCACCTTGTTCACGGCGCAGCGCTAACTAGAATTCGTCGCAGATCTCCGATGGGTATGGCTGCGATCGGTATTTCCCTGTATAAGTATGTCATGAAGTACTCTCCAAATAATTGCAACTACTTCAACCGGGACCGCTTCGTTCTTTCAAATGGTATGTCCTATGCGTCCTCTCCGGTTGTGCGCAGAAGCAAAACCACTTGTAACTCAACTAACATTATAATAGGCCACGCCTGCCTGTGGCAGTACCTCTTTATGCATCTTGTTGGCGTCAAGAGCATGACACTCGAACAGCTCAAGTCTTACCACTCATCAAAGCTCGATTCAGTCTGTCCCGGCCACCCTGAAATCGAAAATGAGGGCATAGAGGTTACAACTGGGCCCCTTGGCCAGGGTCTAGCCAGTGCCGTTGGCCTTGCCATGGCCACTAAAAACCTTGCCGCGACTTACAACAAGCCCGGCCATGAGCTGGTGAATAATATGACATGGTGCATGGTGGGCGATGCTTGCATTCAGGAAGGTGTTGGTCTCGAGGCGCTCTCCCTCGCTGGTCACTGGAAACTAAACAATCTATGTGTTATCTTCGACAATAACTCAGTTACGTGTGACGGAACCGCGGATGTCGCCAACACCGAGGATGTTAACACTAAGATGCGGGCAACTGGCTTTAACGTAATAGACGTGTACAACGGAAATTCAGACGTTGCCGGCAAGTCTCAGAGATCCTTTAGCTTGGCGGTAAAAGCTCTGCTAATATACACCAGAAATCTCAAACGCTCTCATTGCCGCTAAATTGAGCGACAAGCCCACCTTCCTCAACATCCGCACCACTATTGGCTACGGAGCTGCCAAGGCTGGCACTGCCGACATACACGGAGCTGCGCTTGGAGTCGACGAAGTGGCTAACTTCAAGAGAAGATTCGGCCTCAATCCTGATGAGCATTTCCACATCCCCCAAGACGTCTATGACTTCTTCAGTGACATCCCTGGTCGTGGTGAGGTACACGAAGCAGGCTGGCAGAACGCCTTGGTGAAGTATCACAATGAAGACCCCGTACTGGCGGCTGAATTCGCGCTCCGGGTCGCGGGCAAGATGCCCGAAGACTGGACCAAATGTATTCCTCGCACGGAAGACCAGCCTACTGTACCAACGGCCTCACGAAAGTCGGCCGGCGTCGTAACCAACGCCCTCGCCACGAGTATAAATTCATTCTTGGTCGGAACAGCGGATCTTACTCCCTCGGTCAATGTCTCCTATAAAAACAAACTCGATTTCCAATCCGTGAGTACATGATGTTCAGTGTTTATTTCCAGTCTCAAAGCACGATACTAATGTAAAACTAGCCTGAACTCCAAACTACTTGCGGCCTGAACGGAAACTACAGCGGTCGGTATATCCACTACGGTATCCGCGAGCACGCCATGTGCTCCATCTCCAACGGGCTTTCTGCCTTCAACAAAGGCACTTTTATCCCCATGACGAGCACATACTTTGTCTTTCACTTGTACGCCGCTGCCGGTGTGCGCATGGCCGCGCTTCAAGGCCTCCAGCAGATTCACATCGCCACCCATGACAGCATTGGCGTTGGTGAGAACGGACCTACGCACCAGCCCATTGCCGTTGCTGCTCTCTACCGTGCCATGCCTAATGTTCTTTACATCCGCCCATGTGATGCAGAAGAAGTGGCCGGCGCCTACATTGCTGCCATCCAGGCCACTGAGACGCCTACTGTTATCTCACTCTCCCGGCAGAGCCTGACCCAGTACCCCAACAACTCTTCGCGTGAGGGCACGCTTAAGGGCGCGTACGTCTTCGCCGAGGCTGAGGGCTCTGATTTCGATGTAACCCTGATCGGAGTCGGGTCTGAAATGGGCTACGCGATGCAGACTAGGGAATTGCTTCTTACCAATTATGGTATCAGGACACGAGTCGTTTCTTTCCCTTGCACTAGGCTATTTGAGCAGCAGTCACGGGAGTACAAGCAGTCGGTTTTGAAGACGCGCGCTGGGAAGCCCACTGTCGTGATTGAGGCGTACCCGTCCAACGGGTGGGAGCGCTATGCCGACGCTTCGGTGTCGATGAACAGCTTTGGAAAGAGCCTTCCTTCAAAGGAAACATACGAGCACTTTGGATTTGCACCGGAGAGCATCGCGCCTAAAGTCAAGGACCTAGTGGAGGAAGTCAGGAGGGACGGTATCGGAATCCTCAGGGGTGACTTCAGAGACTTCAACGGTAGCCTGCGGATTGGCGTTGAACATTAGAATATATTACATAGGATATGAAGGATCTGCCTACTTTATGAATACATATATATGCCATGACACACCTATACCATAGATTGCCTGTATGGTTTGAGTGAGAAATCATTTCAATCTACATAGTAGTCATGAAATCACCGAAGGCTAGTATGATAAGTCCTACAGAAGCAACTCAAGCGTACGCTTAAACATATCCCGATACGATAGAATACAGCTTGCAATGGATCGAATGCTAAGGATGGATTGAAATCAGTTTCCCCACTTGGATACAGAGCTCCTTTCTCGAACTCTCCTATTACAGCTAATCTGCCCTGACTCATAGTCTTGGAAGAGTATTCCAGTTTAATTGACGGTTAATTTGGAGTCTTGTGGCGTTTGACTGGGATTATCTAATTTCGACGGTAACCAGGCTTTTGATGCAAACAAGTGCGATCAATTTGGAATTTCAAGTTGGTACGAGTTAATACTAGCTGCGATTGTGTATGGAAAACTAAAATTTTACCAAGCCCATGTCACCCGGATGGTTGAGATCCATGCCTCTGACCCCGGCCAACCTGGATCCGATATTGGAGTAGACCATATGGAAGTTGATATGAAGTCTAGTATCTGAAAAAAATGGGTCGCATCACCCCATATGTTGCTTGGCAGTGTATTTTCCTTTGGAATTCTTGAATTTTAGTAACATTTCATTCTTTTATATATGACGTGTAACAGAATTGGTAGTTTTGCATGTTGTCTTTTTGGTCTAAACGTCTCCCGGGGTAACGTCACCGGTGTTGATTGAGACGAGCCTATGAAAGATCTGCTATTTTTACGCGCTAGATCCAGGCAGATTATAGGCAGCAGTGTTATTTCCATTTCGTTGCCGGTTGGGCCGGGGGCCAAACTAATTGCTTAATAAATGACACCTCCAAATCCCCATCCTCACATTTGATCTTATATTGTACAATCAACGTGAAAATGAGCCAAAAAATGTGTTCCAACAAACACCCGCTCTCTCGAGCTCGCAAGACCCAGGCCTTTCTCTCCGTGATTTCGTGGCCATGCGCTCTTGCTGCCGTCCCTATCACTGGTGGTAGTCCTCAAACATGGATTCAACTCCTAGCCGTATGCTATCTTCTCCTTTTATGATAAACGTCCCCTCTAATGATTCAAAGATCTCGGTTTCTACCCTCACGCCTGCATTCATGCTCTTCAAATATCGCAAATCCAAGAAACAATGTTATTCATCCTTCGAAATCGCTCTTGATTTATTGATGGCCTTGCTCATGGCTGGAGTATACATTGCCGGAACCATCATTCTTGCTTCCAATGAGATCAGCACATGGTTTAATGGCAGTAACTACAAGCTTTCCCGTGGCATTCCACAGGTCTACTCCAACCTCTCATGTGTCCTCCTCACGTAAGTTTGTTCATGACTGAAATCCAACCTGGCCTTCCCAATATACTGATCGCTCTAGTCTGCTATATTTCCACTCCTTTGCTAAAGGGGTCTTCCATAAAATCATCCAGCCGTATATGCACAAGACCCGTCGTGTTAATTACACCATTTGCCCGACCTGTGACCGATCTATGGACGCTACTATGACCCAGAGTGAGGATACGGCTGTGACTGCCGGGCAGGGAAGACCCTCTGTCTCGAGTGTTACTCCTCTGGACTTGTATACTGATGACCCCGAGCTGTTGCTGCCTGAGAGCTCTTTAAGCGTATTGGGCATGCAGACTACTGGTGTCGTAGGCACTAACTAAAGCTTTGTGGTGCCAAGAACGGAGGTCGGATAGGGATACAAGGTTCGGCTTGTTCGACTGTCCAGATGGGGGTAGTTCGAGAGCCTGATCTTTTGGCCTTGAAATTGAATGAATCGCGAGTGATGGTGTGGATGTTTCGAAATGGCAGAGTAGAAATGGGACAGTGTGATACCTGTCGGTCTTTATCAATATATGGTATACTTCCAAGGTTGGTTCCTTGTCGGGCGGCTGAGCTCAAGATAAAAATCTAGGGCAGTGAAATTGAATGAAGTACATGACCACAAATCGCAAGGGTCTCGACCCAAAACATATTACACAGAAGTCTATTGGACACATATTTTAGCACCAGGAGATGCAAAAGCAAAAGAACCAAGAGTCTCTAAGACAATAAACCAACAGGAGTTGTGATGTCTTATATGATAGACAATATAGGCGATTGGGGCATCGCACTTGATTAGCTAGATGCATCTCGAGAATATCGATGAACATCAGGGAATTTCACACGCTAACTTGTATTCCAGTGCTGGCTTTGAGATAGTCGCAAAACTCCAGAAAAACGGCGGAAAGCACAATTTCGATCAAGACTTTTTTAATCATAATATGAAATGGATTGTCTGGCAAACGAGCTCTGGCAGATCATAATGAGCTTACAGTTCAATAGTGAAATGACCTGGGTAATGCCCAATAAGGGACGATAGCGGGATGGGCATGGAAGGAGCTAAATCATATATCTGGGAAGGTACTACCTAGCTATCAGTTTGGAACCATTGCCGTCCCCGAATCCCGATACTTATCCCAACTCCCAATCTTTCAAGTCACTACTCTTCCCTGCCCCACAAACAGATACACGTTCTTCCACGACATCATATCCGGAGCAAATATGAAGCTCATTATAGCTGGCGCGAGCGGACTCCTAGGCACCGAGATCTTGAGACAAAGCTTGCAAATGCGCGAGATCACTCGGGTCGTTGCTTTGGCTCGCAGACCTGTGCAGCTCGACGAAGGTACCGACTCATCAAAGCTGAAGAGCGTTGTTATTCGCGACTATGGTGAATACCCCGATAGTGTGAAGGCCGAGTTTGCTGGAGCAGACGCTTGTATCTGGTATGTCGCAAACAGCACCGCTATTGCCTTATCAAAGCTGACTATAACACTTCGTTGGTACCTGTAGGACTATTGCTGTCACACCATTTCGCACTGGTGGTTTCGAGTTTGCTGAAGTTAAGCGTGTCTGTCAGGACTGCACGAAACTTGGGTTTGAGGCGATGTACGAGGCTGGACCAGCGCGTACCTTTCGCTTCATGTACATAAGTGTGCAGGGAACACCTCGAGATCCAACAGAGAGACCAATAATCATGGCCGATTACCAGATCATGCGGGTAACCAATGAGAAACCCTCAATCCCTTCTAAATCTTACGCTAATGTGCCTTTTGTTAAAATAGTGCAACACAGAGTGCATGGTCCTCAGGTTTCCTACAGGGAAAGATGGAGTCGAGGTCTGCATCGCTCAGCCTGGTGTGATTGCAGATTCCACTACTTGGTCACGAGCTCTGGTGGCAAACCTTTTCCGTATCCTGAACCTTTTCGGACGGCCTCTTGCGAATGTACAACGGAGTGAGCTTGCAGCGGCAATGCTAAACCAGGTCATGGATGGGTTCGAGAAGGAAACTCTCTTGAATGCCGATCTTGTTCGAATTGGACGAAGGGAGCTGAAGTTTCGCAGTTTGCCCCAAGTTTGATACATCATTTCTCGGGAAATGATATGAGATTGCTATGGCTTTATGCTTCTTGATTTCAAAGACCCTATGGATTTTGATACAGTGGGGTATGACCGAAGAAACTCCATTGGTTGTATAATCTAATTCAGACACGCGGCTCGTTGATCACTCTACTAATTCATCAGTCACTGTTAGCGAGAAGCCCAATATCCTTTTAAACACAGAAATTAAATCGTGATTCCGTAACTCGGATCTATTAGAAGTGATGCTGACTTCAAAGGCTATTCTGGGGTACAATACACTCCAGCTGGTTTGACACATGTGTTTAATCAAAATGAAGCGTTTGTGGCAACCTCAGCGACAACTCTCTTTTCTTTTCTCTGACAGGCCTTGTTCTTGTTCTAGATAAAACGGCTAATGTCGAGTTTCAGAGCCTTTAATTGAAACTAATTGTTGCATGACTCTGGTGTTCACAATTCTGGTGTTCGCGTATGCAGCAATACCCAGAGTATACCTAAACAAGTAGACGTATCTCATAAAGTTATCACACGTGGCCAATCCTGATCCAATGGCATTTGAGGCGAATTCCCAGATGGAGTTTCCCAAAGTTAGGCGTTCTTGACAGTACTACCCTTTGTTTTGTCGCAAGGTCTGGAGCATCGACTACAGACAGTCTGTCTCCCTTGGACCTGATACCACAACCACATTATAATATCAGTCTAAACAGTGAATAAACTCATAGAAAGCAACCCCTACCGAGAGGCGAGCTTATGTGGGCGACATGCAAAATGTCATTAATAGTCATAATGACGATATAATCCTCCCAGCATAAAACTATAGCCACATCTCCAAACGCCAGCAAATCCCAACACCTCCATCATTGTACACTGGTCAATCTACAGTTGTTTCACAATTCCAGCCATCAAAATGATCAATCGCTCGCATGCCAATATCCATAAGCACGAGCACGAGCACCAGCATGAGCAGGAGCATGAGCATGAGCAGGATGACGCTCCAGAGATGAAAGATCCTCTTCAGCCTGGATCCTCCGACATCGACGAAAGAATGAGTACGCAACTTGCTTTGACCCATCCTGCACATACTTCATACTTTTTTCCAGATCTGCTAACAACAACCCTAGCCCGGGATTATAAGGAGGCCATTGACAAAACCAACATCCTCAACGAAGATCGCCTTCGCCCCGCAAAGCCCCAGTCTTCCAGGGCCTACCAAGAACCATCCGAGGAAGAAATTGATATTTCTTGGAGGCCTGATCCATCGGGTCATCCGCGGAGGACATTCTAAGCGGTTGTACAGAAGTATAATCGGCTTTTTGGATGTTACTAGAGAATGAATTATGTATTTTTCATTTGCTTTACCCCTACTAGTTTCGTTTCATGGAGCATAGACGGCTGAAAATTCGGGAGTCTCCATAAGCCTAGACTATTATGCGAGTGGAAACCGCACTAGTTATTAGACCCTTGATCTTGGTAAGAAAGGTGTAGTGTCACTGTGGCTTGATGTTAGCAGCCAAGCCGACGTTAACTTCCACTGGCCAAAATGTGCCGACCCCGGATTTTCCGGGGCCAGGGTCATTCTGTGGGCGGGTACATACATGCAAATCCAGATATCGTCCGCATACCGCCCGCATAGCGGGGGGATCTACACGTCTAGTCCTACGGGGCAGACTAGGGTGCGAAACTTGAAAGCTTAAGCTAGCAGCACGGGCCTTCTACGCGACATTAATGTGGGGAAGTGTATCGGAAAAGATAAGTTAATCGTATGAATGTGAGGTTATCTCGCGAAAATTCAAGAAAATGCTAAATGTACAAGAGTCACGTTGAACGCCGTCCCAATTGTGCAATCGTTTACCACCCGCTCAAAGCTTTCCCTGGGCCTCCTTGGCCGCCTTGGCGTGACGCTCGAAAGAGGACACAGGAGGAGCGGAGTTGGGGTTGGGGTGGTGCTTCTTGAGCGCCATCTTGACGTTGTACTCCAAGTCAAGAGAGGCCTTGGGGTCGTCGGTCTTGGGCTTGAAGTCTACAACGAGATCATCCTTGACAGCGAAGACGGAGTCGATGGCGAGGTGGGGGTCGTCGCTGGGGTAGATCTGGTTGATGACGGTGGCGTATTCGGGGTGGGTGATCATGAGGTGGATGTGGGCGGGACGCATGGGGGAGCGGTCCATAAGTCTGAGGAGGACGCCGGCGGGGCCGTCGGTGGGCAGAGAGTAGGGAGTAGGGTGGTAGCAGTACCAGTTGAATTCTCCCTTCTCGTTTGTGCGGAACTTGCCGCGGAGGTTGTTATCGGACTGGGTGGGGTCCTGGAAATCGTATTGGCCGTTGGCCGAGGCTTGCCAGATGTCGAGGACGGCGCCGACGATCGGCTTGCCAGTCTCCATGTCCTTAACGGCACCGTGCATGAAGGTGACACGGCCATTGGGCTTGGGGTCCTGGATAATGCTGTCGCCGAGAGCGCGGAAGGGGGCATTGGGAGACCAGAAGGGGCCGAGAATAACGTTGGAGGTGGGGGCAACACCGTCTTCGGTGATGATCTTGTTGGCGATCTCATCGACGAGACTAATGAAGATCGGTTAGCTTTTGCTTTCTTCTCCATTTTATATTTATTTTTGAGCATAAAAATAAACTAAAAATGAAGGCAGATATAAAACTTACGACTCGAGGCCGATCACGTCGCAGATGCGGTGGCCTTCGTTGCGGATAGGAGTGCTGATCTTGCCAACGGAGTTGATGAACTCAACACCGAGCATCCACTCAGCGGGGGTCAGCTCAACCTCACGAGCAAAGTCGTGGATGTGCTTGATCAAAGAACCCAAGACCACACGAGTACGATCGGGGACGTTGGAGCCCATGCCATTGATGACAGAGGCGGTGAAAGTAGGGTCAAACTGGCGTGTGGAAGACATTTTGTAAAGTGGGTTGAGAAAGTGAGCTGTAAGTCAAGAAACTCAGCGCGACCTGTAAGGGTCTATATATGGTGGGCGACGGCATATCGTTCGGCTGGTCATGAATGTGGGGAAGATGCGACAGTGCCAAACGTGCAAAAATCCCGTTACCACCTGCCGAATGATTTGATCGTGTGAATCAAAAATGGTTCCATTCTGGCATCGGTCCGGCCGTCAACAGCCGAGTGGCAGTCCTCTATTATATCAGCGCGGGGTGGCCGGGGTAGCTCTTATCCGCGGGTAAGCCCCGGGATAAGCCCCTTTGCACATATCCGCTTTCACCGCCTTTTGATTGGTTCGGCTTTTGTCTTTCTTCAACTTCCGGGTCACGTGCTTCATAGATCGACAAATCATAGTTCTCTGTTGTACAGTAGCTTGCAAAATCGCCTTGGGCTTTTATACATACTTTTTGTTTCCCACCCCCAGTCGCCAAGGCCCAGTTAACCCGAAGCAGTTAGCCTTAAAAAGACCCTGGCTAGCACCTTTTGAATGGTATGGTAAGAAACAAGACGATGACAACACGGCTGCGACTTGGAGTGTCTGCCTTATCGTGTCGTCGGAGACAGCAATCTGATAATCCGGCTTCGTGTACCCCACCTTGCAGGCTGCTGGTTGGTTCTGCTGCTGTGCAATCACAACTCAGTCGCCAATAGGGCGCGGTACCTCCTGCAGTTCGGACAAAGTACCTCGTTCGCTGATGCGGGCGCTTAGGCCGTGCACCCCGTCACCCCTGATGCCTTAGGCTGATGGAGAATGACGGAGAAAGGGGTCAACAATGGTGGTTTGTATTAATGGGTAAGAAACTGGTTTAAATACATGTGGGGCTCATGCCCTAGTAGCTATGCCCTGACAGAGAAGGCGTCTCTGCGTTACCCCTCCTTGTCCCTGATTCGGTGAGATGGCAGTTTTTACAGCCTACAGACACTTTCGAAGCCAAGCGATATAATTTTATTCCTGTATATTTGCTCTTGCATTCGTGGCGGCGGCAGCGGTAGCTTATACCAGACATTTGGTGTTCTATATGCCCATCGAGGAATTGAAACCGATCCACGTGGCGATGGCATCCGCAATATCGTTTGAACCTTCAAATTCGGGGTTCCAGATCGCTGTGAACCACGGCTCGGTCACTAACCACTTCCACATGCCTAAAGAAACGAAAGAGATGAATCCTAGACCTTGTAAGTCAACAGAAAAGCCTAATCAAGATATCAGGCTCACTCATTTTGTCCAAGGTGATCAACCTCAAGCCCACTATATTATCCCTTCGTTGGAAAACCGTCATTTTACTGGCCGTGAATTCACGCTAGATCAGCTTAAACAGAAACTATTTCTACAAGCCAATACTAGAAAAGTAGCTCTATTCGGCCTAGGTGGCATCGGCAAGACCCAAGTTGCTCTTCAGCTTGCCCGCTGGGTGCAAGCGCATATACCAGACTGCTCAATTTTCTGGGCTCCTGCGCTTAGTGTCGAGAGTTTTGAGCAGGCTTGTTCGCAAATCGCGAAAGAGCTGCAAGTCCATCAGAGTTCAGACGGTGAAAGTGCGATGGAATTAGTACACCGACAGCTAAGCTCTAATAAAGCCGGAAAGTGGCTTTTCATTGTCGACAATGCCGACGATGTGGACTTGCTTTTCGATAAGCTTGATCAGTATTTCCCTGCTAGCAACAAAGGCGTTACTTTGCTCACTACTCGTTCCCGTGAGGTGGCACTGTCGTTCGCAGGAAGGGATATAGTTGAGCTCCAAAAGATGACAACGGAGGAAGGGATTACTTTCCTTACTAAGATTGTAGGAGAGGACTCGCTTTGTGACCAGATCTCCACTATGCAATTACTGGAAGAGCTAAACTTCCTACCTCTAGCTATTGCGCAGGCGGCTCACTATATTTGTCGAAACGATGCAACTAGCACACGGTACCTCGAGCTTTTGCATAAAACCGAAAAAGACCGGATACGTCTAGCGGGTAGGGAGTTCCACGATAGCACTCGCTATCGTAGAATGCCTAACGCGGTGACCACCACATGGCTTATCTCATTCAATCAGATTCAGAGCTCAGATCCCTCTGCTACCGATTTATTAGGATTTATGTCTTATCTTGAGCCAAAGGCAATCCCGCGATCTATTCTCCCCCCCTCGATTCGGAAGAGGAGATGGAGTTTGCGATTGGTACGCTGTGTAGCTATGGATTCCTGACCAGGAGGGAGAATAGGAATATATTTGACATGCATAGCCTCGTACAGTTGTCAACCCGAGTGTGGATAGCAGAGGCACGGAAGACGCAACGGGTTATCACAACCATAACGCAACATATAGTCAAGCATTTTCCATCCGATGAATACACAAATCGTGACACATGGAGGATGTACCTACCACACGCCCTTGAGATTCTTAGGAGAGGGGAAAGTCAGGATATAAGTGAGACGTATAGCTTGCTTTCCAAGGTTGGGAATTGCGTTCTAGCGGATGGCCGAGCGAGAGAAGCTGTTACCTTTTTTGGGACTGTGTGTGCATGGAATGAAAGACACTATGGTGAAGAACAACCTGATCGACTGGCATCTCAGCACGAACTCGCAAGGGCATACCAATCCAACGGGCAGATCAAGCAGGCCGTGGAGCTACTTACGCACGTGGTCGCGGTGAAAGAGAGAACGCTCGATGAAGAACATCCCTCTCGACTGGCATCTCAGCACGAACTCGCAGGGGCATACCAATCTAACGGGCAGATTAAGCAGGCCATGGAGCTACTTAAGCACGTGGTCGCGGTAGAAGCGAGAACGCTCGATGAAGAACATCCCTCTCGACTGGCATCTCAGCACGAACTCGCAGGGGCATACCAATCTAACGGGCAGATTAAGCAGGCCGTGGAGCTGCTTAAGCACGTGGTCGCGGTGCAAGAGAGAACGCTCGATGAAGAACATCCCTCTCGACTAGCATCTCAGCACGAACTCGCAGGGGCATACCAATCTAACGGGCAGATCAAGCAGGCCGTGGAGCTGCTTAAGCACGTGGTCGCAGTGAAAGAGAGAACGCTCGATAAAGAACATCCCTCTCGACTGGCATCTCAGCACGAACTCGCAGGGGCATACCAATCTAACGGGCAGATCAAGCAGGCCGTGGAGCTGCTTAAGCACGTGGTCGCAGTGAAAGAGAGAACGCTCGATGAAGAACATCCCTCTCGACTGGCATCTCAGCACGAACTCGCAGGGGCATACCAATCTGACGGGCAGATGAACCAGGCCGTGGAGCTGCTTAAGCACGTGGTCGCGGTGCAAGTGAGAACGCTCGATGAAGAACATCCCTCTCGACTGGCATCTCAGCACGAACTCGCAAGGGCATACCAATCTAACGGGCAGGTTAAGCAGGCTGTGGAGCTACTTAAGCATGTGGTCGCGGTGGGAGAGAGAACGCTCGATGAAGAACATCCCTCTCGACTGGCATCTCAGCACGAACTCGCAGGGGCATACCAATCTAACGGGCAGATTAAGCAGGCCATGGAGCTACTTAAGCACGTGGTCGCGGTAGAAGCGAGAACGCTCGATGAAGAACATCCCTCTCGACTGGCATCTCAGCACGTACTCGCAGGGGCATACAAATCTAACGGGCAGATTAAGCAGGCTGTGGAGCTGCTTAAGCACGTGGTCGCGGTGCGAGAGAGAACGCTCGATGAAGAACATCCTGATCGACTGGCATCTCAGCACGAACTCGCAAGGGCATACCAATCTAACGGGCAAGTTAAGCAGGCCGTGGAGCTACTTAAGCACGTGGTCGCGGTACGAGTGAGAACGCTCGATGAAGAACATCCTGATCGACTGGCATCTCAGCACGAACTCGCAAGGGCATATCAATCTGACGGGCAGATCGAGCAGGCCGTGGAGCTGCTTAAGCACGTGGTCGCAGTGAAAGAGAGAACGCTCGATAAAGAACATCCCTCTCGACTGGCATCTCAGCACGAACTCGCAAGGGCATATCAATCCAACGGGCAGATTGAGCAGGCTGTGGAGCTGCTTAAGCACGTGGTCGCGGTGCGAGAGAGCACGCTCGATGAAGAACATCCTGATCGACTGGCATCTCAGCACGCACTCGCAGGGGCATACCAATCTCAGATCAAGCAGGCCGCGGAGCTACTTGAGCATGTGGTCGTGGTTCAAGAGAGAACGCACAATGAAGATCTGATCGATTAGCGTCTTAGCGCGCTCTCCAAGGCATTAAACAGTCGATCAAAGTACCGATCATGGACAACATTTTTATCATCCCCACCTGATATTGGGTCTTAGTCGAACTGCTCTTCCTTGAACAAATCCGCTGAATAAAGTCTCATTAAAGTAACTGCCATTTTTATTTCGTTACTTATGCTTCACGGTGGCTCCTGTAGGCAACAAACCGAAGTCAGTTGAGTAAGCCTGAAACGCGCAAGGTGACGGTTTGTGACAATACTATGTAATATACAGAGCCAAATATAAGACAGGAGCGAACTGTATGCGATTAGGGCCGTCTTGGCATTGGCATTTGAAATAGAAGGTGTGAAATGTAAAAACTCAAGGCGGTTTTGCAAGCTACTGTTGGTGCAACTGATTCTACATGTATCTACATTCACTATGGACTAAAGTAGAGCCATGGTCTCGAGGAAATATAGGACACAAATACGCGAGGCGACTTTCCGAGAAATCCATTGAGAAAAGGAAAGAAACCCGCTAGTGCTCATAGCTGGTAAAGTAATCCAGAACGTTGCTTGTTTTACTTTCATCCAGCTTGTTGATTTCAATTCATCAATAGGAAACTTCTAGCAAATCAGCCACCTCGTAATTTCCGATCTCAAAATTCCCACAGTCTACCTGCTGCTTGATCTTCCGATATAATGCCTTCAAAGCCTCACGATCTTCGTCATCGCAATGTGGCCAGGCCTCCTTATCGTCTTCCCGCCTTGATGAAGTGAATTGAGAGGGCCCTATACCCCCATCAAACTCCATGTAACGTTCGTGCATCAATACCGGTACAAGGTCCAGTTCTTTCTCGAATGGCAGCCCCCACCCATGATCTGAGTTCCATGCTTGATTGTGACCAATCGCAAAATGACGGAGGTGTGGAAGGCCGGTCTCAAATGAGGCAAAATAGTCATTCCATCGGCGTGGATAATCGTAGTGCCAGTCATCGCTCCACTTCTCATTAATTTGAAATTTCATTCTGGATTTCGGTAGCGGGCATTTGTCAAGTTGGAATTCGTAATCCAATATTCTCGCGTGGAATAAAATCGGACAATCGTCAAGGTAAAGTTCTTGGAGTGTTGACGAATGTGATAGAATCCAATCGAGCTGCTGGTCTTCGAAAAAGGAGAAGTTGCCCAGAGTGAGCGACTGCAAATTTGGGCAGTGGATCCCTTCGAGGCTGAATTTAGGGTAGAATCCCCAGTAAAAGCCGGAATATAGAGACAGCTTCCGGAGTGATCCCATGGTGGGTTTCAGCCAGACTGACGGCAGTATACGTGCGTAGAATTCTTGCGCCTCGGCTTTCTGTCAGACATTCCCCAAATTAGCATGAATAATAATACATAAGCTTGTTTCGAACAGACTGGAGTAGATACAAACCTCGATTTCATCTTCAGGGCTTGCAGGTACGAGCTCATGCATAACGTTCAGTCTCAGCGAGCTCAGCTTGCTCAGTACTTGCTGGAAATCTTTACTCAATGGTGTCACATTCTGCTGATTTTGAATCCCTAATTCTTTCAGGGGTTGCTTTAAAGACACTAGCGCCGTACCCAGCCATTTTATGATGGTTTCTCGGTAATCAATCGGCTGGGGAGCCTCGAGATAATGGCTGTCTAGCACGCAGTTTTGGTCGAAGCGCAGCACGACGCTTTCGAGATTCGGAATTTTCGGAAGCATAAATAGGAGCTCCTTCCATTTGAAAGGTAGCTCAACTGCTTCGTGCTCTATGTCAGGTTCCTGATGTACTACATATTAGCTAACCCTTGAATGTATGACAATATTGTTCCATCTCAGGGTGAGATCTCACAGAGTCGACCTCGACAGTATTGAAGCGGATCTTGCGCACATGTTCTTTTAACTGTGGATGGGCTATAATTGACCCGAAAGCCTCACAGCTTTTATCGTCGGTGTACAGTGAGAGCGTAGAGAACAGATTCTTGGTTGCCAAGGCGGATAGCGTGTGGTTTGTCAGTCTTAGGGCCTTCAGGGTTTCCGTGTCCGAGAGAGATGTGATGATTGCAAGTAGCTCTAGGGGGAAATTAAATGATGCCATGTTCACGGGAAAATATTTAATCCTCTGTCAGAAACGGGCGTGTCAGATCTTCTTATAAAGCTTCGATTCCGGCATACTAGACCCAAAATGACTCCGCTTGGCGCAGTTTTCTAGACACCTTTAGGCAGAAAGGTGGAGGTTAGCTTATGGAAATTCACACACGTCTCAACATTTTCAGATGTACCCAAGTTTTGCCCCCTTTCTTTCTTCTACTCTTCTTTAATGAGCTCCAGACAGAATCTGAATATGTTGCGTTGATTTGATTTTCTAGGTCGGAGATTATCTGGCGATTAACTGCGTCCTCATTGGCCAATTCTCTTTCTAAGGCTTCCAAGGTTTGGTGCCTGATATATCCGGCCGTCATACATTTTTCTGGCTGTACCCCTCTGGATAACCTTGGAAGTGTACATGTCGAGTAGCTCAAATACCGTACAATCACCTCTTACAACTGGAGATCGACCGCATGGATCTGTCTACTTTTGCTACGATTGTACCTCAATCCTCGAGTCTCCCACGTAACTTCAAGAAAGTCAAATGATGAGGCTAATTTGCAAAGATCATAAACTAATCACAAAGAAACTGATGTAACAGGAATACTGACTCTCAAAACAATCAACAAACCAAAACACTCACCATGCCAAAAGCTCTTTCTGGGATCTACAGGCCAAAGACGCACAGATCTGCTCATCTTTCTCACTGACCTCTGCGTTGCATGGCACCTTCGGTTTCGCCGGCCAGATCTCCCGCCCTTGGGATTTCTCACGCTCAAAGTGCTCCGTGACGACATCGCGGACTGTGCTCTGGAAGAACAGCGGCGCCTTCTCATACTTCGGGTGAAGCTCGCCACTCGTAAAGACATTTCGGTCGAGGTTCTTTTGTGCGTTGTTGCAAAGGACCTTGTCTTCTCCCATGACTCGCGCGTACATATCGCTGATGAGCTTGAAGTCGGTATCGGAGGAGTTCCGGTTTCGGTAGACTTCATAAGCCATCTTTGAGCTCTTGGGGCTTGAGGGGAGGAATTTCTGGATCATGATAAAATGCGGCCTGTATATGTGAGAGGATGTTTGGTTTGAGAAGGCATAGGTTGAGAAATACTTACGACACAACCATGGCAGACATGGGGAAGTAGTAGGTGCTGGCAGTGTAAAGGCCCTTCTCGATTTGCTCTGGCGTAGACTCGCAATGATGCTGGATGTGTCCATCTTTAAGATCGCTGTCGAAAGACTCGAGGTTGAGAAATTCAGGAATATCGGCGTGTGTTGTAGGACAGTGGTAGCATTCATTGAAATTATCAGCCAGAATCTTCCAGTTATAGTCGCCTTCGAGCGCATAAGAGTGATCCAGGTCGTAGTCGCCAAAGTTGTAGGCTTTGTACCGTTCTTGCTTGTCGACGTCCTGAAAATGCTCCTCCCATGACACTTCTGGGACTTCGTTCGCATCCATATTGACCCAGATGAAGCCATTCACATCGACCTTGAGGTGGATTCTGAAGAGACCATTCTGCTTGTTATCGAAGTTACTCAACTCTTGGTATTTCGTAGCTTTGGCAAGTTTGCCATTTAGTCCGTAAGACCAGCCGTGGTATCGGCAAGCGAGGATTTGGGAGTTTCCGGAATCCTCTTTCTCAACTACCGGGTACGCACGGTGTCTGCATACGTTGTGGAATGCGTTGACGTTGCCCTGTCGGTCACGAGTGATGATGAAGTCGAAACCTGCAATCTCGTAGCGGAGCCAGTCGCCGGTATTCTTCACCCGCATGCTGTGGGTGATGAAGAGCCATCTCTTCGAAAATATGGCTCGACGCTCCAACTCGTACATCTCTGGCGAGGTGTACCATGATGCAGGCAAGGCACGAACGGGAGAATCTTTGGTTTCTTCCTTGGGGGTAGCGGCGTTGAAGCCAAAATAGTTCAACATTGAAGCCATGGCGAGGATATAAGAAAGTTCAATGGAAAATATCTTCTGGTCTTTGTTGCCTAACTGGTCACCACAATCATCCCTTTATATGTCCTAAAACAATTTGGTATGGTACTGTTAGCCACGTCTATACTCCGATCATATGGACGGCCGTATTCTAATTTGGTAGGGTAACCCATCGTGAGGCGGGTTGATCTTCCAAGAACGGACATCGAACCCCACAACCCGCCACGATAGTACTACAATCTGTACTACACGTCGGATTAAATGCCATGATGGGTTATTAAGGCAAATTCCATCAAACCCGACATATTGTTCGGGCATATATTCTCCAGTCCACGCTACATCGCTTTGTTTGGAGCTTGACACGCATACTTCGAAACGCCGATCGGGTTCTGCAGCCAATAGAAGTTCGCATAAAGTAGATAAGCTACATGAGCTCTAAGTCTCGCGGTATACAGAGTAAGGCATTGCCGATTGAATCAGGACTCGGGTTCCTCAAATTGTGGGATAGGTCACTCCCACGATCAGAAAACAAATACCTTGTCCTACGCATACCTGGCTTCCTTATCATGGCTACATAATTTTGACAAAATAAATGAAAATGCTTAAAATTGTTTATATCTGGACTCCGAAGTGATTGTTTTCCAATATAAGTAGGAGATCGAGGAGTTGATACAGGCCCAAGTTCATAGACGATGTGTAGACCTGGCACTACATCGCGGGTAACCCTCCCGACCCTACACCTGCACCTCCATTTGGGCAGGTCAGGTTCTAAACTTCCGACCCTCGGGTGGGTTAGTCCGAGGGTCGACCCCCATGAGAGCAAAAGGTGCGATAAACATGGTAGAGTAAAAACGTGACTTTTTTAAGTGATAGGACTAGACGATCATTGATTTTGAGCCCAACTCCACCATCCCTCGCAATTTCGCTTTCTGGCGATGCGCTAACAAAGGCTCATATACCATCTCGCGAGCGGTCAATCCCAGAACACTAATGCTGACGCCGTCAACTGCAAGCATTACGTTTGGATACAAGAACTATACGGCTGGGTACGACGGTACAGACTTCACCCTCATTATGCGCCGACAGACCGATACACTGTTCCAATATAGTGTTGACATATCCTTTGCGCCAAAATCTCAAGACGAGGAAGTTGGGGTAACAGTGTCTCTAAAAAAATTAACAGGGCAATAACGATTGTCGAATCGCCGGATACCCGGAGTTTAACTATGATACCCATCAATACTGCCTTCTTAGAGCCCACTAGAGTGGATAGAGTGGACCACAGATCCCTTTTTTAAGGTATCCTCAGCTGTTGGGATGGAGGCTTACTACAATGAGGAATGACTTTGAGGCGTCACGGCCCGCTGTGTCATTAAGACATACAGGCTCTAGGTACCCGAGACTCACTATGTAATTGGCAACTGGTGTGGTACTTGGTACGGGTGAAATTTGTATTGCAGCCAACCGTTACAGAAAACTGGTATAATATATATATGAATGGGAGATATGTACTCTATCAAAACCCACTATTTCAATAACGTATTTCACCAGCCGTCCATCCAAAGGAACTGGTCATAAAGAGGTTATATGAGTCCACTCATAGCCTGTCCTTCATATTTGTGGTCAACTCAATACAGATTTGTCTCGTGTACATACGAACAATGAAACGCTCCAAACATCATCGATTTGGCTCACTAATGCGGTGGATACCGCGGGAGCTTCCAAGACTGGTGTAAAATCAATTCTAAACGCTCCATGGTTCTCTGGAAGCTAAATTGAGCAAAACCCTGTATGATTACGTAGTATTCAAGGCTACCACCTGTAGATGTGGGCGGGTAGCACTGCGGAGGGAGTTGCCGCTACTTTAGATACGGCTTGAGATACTACCAGCAGATGTGTGTATCAACTGAGCCCAATTTTGTAACAAAATCATTCATCCGAGATATAAGATAAGGCGATAAAAAGAGGGTATAGATTGAAAATCGCAAAGAAACCAACATAGAATCCCCAAGGGGGGCTAGAACCAAGACTCCATCGCTTCAAAACGAAAAACACCAGCGTAAAACATAAAGATGCGCCAATTTTGATTGTCAGAAGGTCTCAAGGCCCCCGGCACATAACAACCGAATCTCAATGACTATCGGTCAATGAGATGAGAGTAGAATACCAATCAAACAGAGAAACGCGAGGATGTTCCGACACGTGGGTCAACGTTCAGAAAAGGCACGAACGCAGCTCCAGCGGTACGTCCTCCTATGTAGACATCGTAATTCATTAACATCATCTTCGCCATTCATAGAACATTACATTGATGCAAGACTAGCAGATCCTGCAGCCGCAGATCCCCAGCGCAGTTTTCGGAGTCCGCCACGGACCGCTTCCTGGCCACATCCTGTTGAGGGGCGAGGGCCAGGAACACCATCTCCCATCATCCCCACCTCAACTCGCCCGACCTCACGGCCGATCATATACCCGGCGGAAAAACTGATTGCAGAGAATAGAACGACAACCCCGGCGCTGATGACCCATGTCATGATCGTGGGGCTGACAGTCGTTGCTGAATCTGTCATGCTTACGCGACGGCTCTTCTTCGATGCAGCACCGCGGTCTTTAGGAGAACTTGAACGGCGCTTTGCTTTGGCGGCAGATGGGTCAGATGACACCGACGGAGCTCTTAGGTTCCTCTGCGGTGCCCCTATAGACGGACTTGTTTCTGGATACTGCGGCGACGACGTGGTCTCTTCATCGCTGCTCTCCTCTCCCATAGCGACCGATGCACCTACTAGTCGGAATAAAGCGGGGTGTCCGCCTCCAGAGGGTGCAGCTGGGGTAGGTGATGGCCTATTGTCATTCTTGGGAAGGCCTCTAGCGGCAGCGGCACATGAAAGAAGTGTTGATAGGCTGGCACGAAGAGCTGCATCGTGGTCGGTATGATGGGAAGGGGAGATCATGTTGTAAGGGCTGTGTTGGTATTGAGTTCTGCGCGATGATCGTGGACTAGGATAAGAATCCCTTCGAGGGGTTGCACGAGTAGACGGTACACTAGGTTGAGTACGTCGTGCAGTCCATCCAGGTTCTGATGCTGCTGGTGGGTGTGTGAATATGTTTGGTTGGGGTACGAAAGGTGATGGGTTGATTCCCATCCCTAAAGCAGTAGAAGTATCATCTTCATCATCGCTGGAGGCAGCATCTGAACCTGAGGGCCGTGCAGCGCGTGCAGATAATGCAGGTGGGAGCGTTGGGCAGGTTATATCTTCATTCGAGCTGCTGAGAACGCGATCAGACTCGCTTTCGCTCTCGTCATATTCCTCTTGGCTGCTACTGGCTTGACTGACATCCCGCGATGCATAGTCCACCTGGGCTGTGGTGATAGCAGCAAGGTGTTGAAGACGACGTCGCCTATTGCGGCGATGGTACACTCCTGCTTCTCCAATTTCGACCTGCAAGCCGGTAGTGATTATATCTTCATTCGTGGCAGCAGAGGAGAAAGAAGAAGAGGATGGTTGCGAGGATACGTCAATCCAGGAATCTATGTAGTATCGTAGTGAGTACATTATGAAAACGTGAGAGCAATTATGTATATGAAAGTTCATCAGGGGAGGTACCAGTCGGATTATAAAAAGGACTACATACCCTCTGATCTCATGGGCGCCGCACCAGATGACTGGGGCTGACCGTTATCTTGCGGCTGATGGCCATCCGTCATCCGACTTGCGGCTCTAGGCTCACGCACCTGACCTAGCGGATAGTGATTTGGTTGCATAGCCAGAGAGTTGAATGAATATGAGAAGGAGTAGAATAGAAATATAAAAGAGAGGGGATCAGGCCACTCTGGGAAGTACAAGAGAGCGGTCAACGTGGGGTTATCTTATCAAATGTGGAGTCGATCACTGATGCCCAAAGCAAGGGTTTTATACTCCTTTCTGCTCACAAGATTTATAAAAAGGAAGCAAAAATAGTTAGATTAATCTTCAGAAACAGAAAGAAAAGGACAGTGATCGAAGAGATCGAAGAAAGATGAAGGAAGCTCTCCAGGTGGAAAGATTCGAAATGATGAGGTGATCAGCAGACCGAACAGGTGATTTGCAGCCCGTGACAAGGCAAAGGGCGAAAGACGATGCGAGGGGATCGTCAGTGGTAAGTGGCGCAGGTTTTATGGAATGTTGAGATTGGAGAAGCTCACAAAGAGGCCTTCTTTCATCAACAAGTCAACCAAAGAAGGACAAATCAATCAAAGTCCTCAGGCAAAACAAGTTTGCGTGGAAGGCGGCATCTAGCGGCAATATACAGGCTGATAGGTTACATGTCTACAAACAAGATGGAAAAGTTGATCATAATGAAAATTGAAATGATGTATCAAATTGAAGATACCTGAGCTAAGATCATATTACACATAATTAAACACGAACTTTTTTCCTCTCAAAGCAAACCTGAGACCCATGGACACCGATATGTTGCGGAAATCAAATGCAGAAAATATCAAGTTCAGAAGGTAACCTTGGTACCCTTGTACTCAGGGATGGAACCCTTGCCCTTGTTGAGGCCACCGCGGCCGCCACGGTCGCCGAAGCCACCACGACCACCACCACGGCCGCCACGGTCACCGAAGCCACCACGGCCACCACCGCGACCACCACCGCCGCGTCCACCGAAACCACCACCGCCACCGCGGCCACGACCACCGAAGCCACCGCGGTCACCACCGGCAGGGCGGGGAGTAGAGAAGTCAAGACGGATAGAGCGGCCCTCGAGCTCGTGGCCGTTGAGGGCAGCGTGAGCAGCCTTGGCCTCATCAATGGAAGAGAACTGAACGTAACCGAAGCCCTTGGGGCGGCCGGTCTCCTGCTCAGTGGGGAGACGGATTCCAAGAATGGAACCCTGGGCACCGAAGACCTCGTGGAGAGCATCCTCAGTGGCGCTGAAGGGAAGGTTGCCAACGAAGAGAGTGTCGCTCTCGGGGCTGGTGGAGTCACCGTAGGAGCGAGCACGATCCTGGGAGCGGTCGGCAGGGGGGTTGGCCTGACGGGGAGCGGCGTAGTCGAGGTTGATGGTGCGACCATCAAGATCGGTACCCTTCTTAGCATCCATGGCCTTGACGGCATCGGCGGCGTTGGTGTACTCAACGTAGCCGAATCCACGGGAGCGGCCAGTCTCACGGTCAGTGACAATGCGGACACCGTTGAGCTCACCGAACTCGGCGAACTCACGCTGGAGCCACTCCTCATCGACGTTCCAGGACAGGTTACCGATGAAGAGGTTGGCAACAGCACCCTCGGGAAGATCATCGGTCTTGGACTTCTTGGCAGCGGCGGCAGGCTCCTCATCGGCCTTGCGCTTCTTGGAGACAGGGGTCTCCTCGGAGTCGGAGTCAGAGTCAGAGCTGTCAGAGTCGGAACCAGACTCAGAGTCGGAGGAAGCCTTCTTGGCCTCGGACTCAGACTCAGAAGAGTCAGAGTCAGAGTCGGAAGACTCGGCCTTCTTCTCGGCCTTCTTGGGAGTGGGCTTCTCCTCCTCGGACTCAGAGTCAGAGTCGGAAGAGTCGGAAGAGTCGGAAGACTCAGCCTTAGCAGCAACCTTCTTCTCGGCCTTCTTGGGAGCGGGCTTCTCCTCCTCGGACTCGGAAGAAGAGTCAGAGTCGGAAGAGTCGGAAGACTCAGCCTTAGCAGCAACCTTCTTCTCAGCCTTCTTGGGGGCGGGCTTCTCATCCTCGGACTCAGACTCGGACTCGGAGCTGGAGGAAGCATCCTTCATATCCTCATCGGACTCGGACTCGGATTCGGAGGAGGAGCTGGGGGTAGGCTCCTTCTTCTTGGACTTCTTGGAGGCCTTCTCCTTGGCGGCGACCTTGCTGGCAACGGCCTTGCTCTTGGCGGCAGGGGACTGGGAAGCCTTGGTGACACCGGCATCCTTGACCTTGTTCAAGGTCTTGCTGACCTTGGTGGCCTTATCGGCACCCTTGGTAGATGTCTTGGACATTGTGAACTAGCAACGAGAAAAGGATGTTAGCGATTGCTCTTTGGTAGAATTGGGGGGACTCATATGGAGGGCTTGGGAGGCTGGCTTGTATCTTGGGTAGGGTGGCACATACTGTAGTGACAAGTGAAATTCTTGTAGTATGTGCGGCAAAGCCCACGATCCCTCAAAGCACCCGTGTTATGGATGTGTAAAATGGAACAACAGCCCTCAGAAGAACTGCCAGAAGTGAACTAAATCACAGCTGGACGTTAACCCACTACCCACGGACGGACAAGTTTTCAAGCCCACAAGCAACAGACAGCCAATACTGTCTAGAATATGTAACCCACGAGGAAGATGTCCCACAGAGCCCACAGAATAGATGTATGTCAAGCCCACAGCCCTCGGAGAAATAAAAGAGCCCACAGAACGAACTTACGAGATAAACCCACGCGACTGCGTTAGTTAGTGTGTGTAGAGATCTCTTGAGTATTCAAGAGATGTAACAAGTAAAGCAACCTGAAACAGACTGCTTTTTGAAAGGGGATGAGAGAAAGAAGTAGAGAGGATAGGAAGGAGAAGAAGAAAAAAGTGAAGAGCTGGGGGACCATCAGCTCTGATAAGGAAAAATTTCTGAAAAAAAAATTCGGAGGCTGGCAGAACCAGTCCGCCTACCTAGAAAGGTTAGATTAAACACTTAGTCCCAACACTATGTGGGTACCTGTCCTGTGCCTGTTGACGACTCACAATCGCGTGTCAATTGGCGGTATCTTCTGCGTCTACGTACATATCAAGCCACAATAACTTTAGAAGTCAATTCTTCTCTCATTTAGACACGTTTTTTGACTCAGTCAATGGGACGATAAGTTCACCTCTACTCTTTATCGTGATGGCCCCTCCAACACCATCCTCCCACCGCCCCCGCAAGAAGAGAAAGGTTGCGCCCGGCTCCAACAATAACCTGATCTTGGATCTAGGCGATGGGAAGCAATCCCCAGCATTCCCCCTCGTCTCGTTTTTGTGGGCTGCTCGGGCTGGTGTTTCTCAATGGCTGATTCTTCCACTTGTCCTCATGGCCGTCGGCCTGTTCCGATGGGCTGTGAGCTTGTGGGGTTACTCTGGTATGCGATATTGTCTCTCTATGGAGGATACAAGAACTGATATCTTCTAGGCTTTCAGGTTCCCCCAATGCATGGTGATTTTGAAGCGCAACGGCATTGGATGGAAATTACCACACATCTGCCTTTGGCGAAGTGGTACATATACGATCTGCAATATTGGGGTCTCGATTATCCACCACTGACCGCATATCACAGCTGGCTATTCGGAAAAATGTACACTTCCTTTTCATTCATTGTGGAATTCTCATGGCCTCCTGCTGACCTGTTGACTTGTCTAGTGGCTCCGCCTTTGATCCAACCTGGTTCGCCCTGGATGCCTCCCGAGGTTTCGAGGACCCCCGTTTGAAAGTATACATGCGCGCTACTGTCATGGTATCCGAATACTTCGTTTTCATTCCGGCCGTGGTCAATTTCCTCCGCCGCTACACTCGGATGCAGGGTGTTCATGCATGGTCCGCCTCGATTGCTCTCGTGGCAATTCTCCTTCAGCCAGCGAATATCCTCATCGATCATGGCCATTTCCAATATAACACAGTCATGCTTGGATTGGTGGTTGCGAGCTTGGATGCTATCTTGGCGGGGCGTATGCTTTGGGCTTGCATTTTCTTCGTTGGTGCACTGGGATTCAAACAAATGGCATTGTACTATGCACCAGTCATGTTCGCCTATCTTCTCGGTGTCTGCACATTCCCTCGGATCAATATTCCTCGCCTTGTGAGCATAGCCCTCATCACATTGGCTGCTTTTACTTTGCTTTTGGCCCCTCTCATGGTTGGTGCCTCCAATGCCGATGCTCGAAAGGCATTTGCATCTTCTCCGGTGCCGCCTCTGTTACAGGTACTTCCTATCCAGTTGGACAAGAATTCCGTTACATACGGGCTATTGTTCCAATTAACGCAGATCATTTATCGGGTGTTCCCCTTTGCGCGTGGGCTCTTCGAAGACAAAGTTGCCAACGCTTGGTGCGCCATTCACACTTTCTATAAGCTCACCCGCTTTGATGCTACGTTGTTGCAGCGCGCATCACTTGGTGCCACATTGGCGTCAATTGTTGTTCCCTGTGCTATCATCTTCCGCCACCCCCGGGCCTCGCTTCTCCTTCCCGCTCTATCTGCCGTCTCCTGGGGATTCTTCTTGTTCTCCTTCCAGGTCCATGAGAAGAGTGTGTTGCTGCCTTTGCTACCAATGAGTCTCCTACTTGCTGGTAACGGTGGGCTGAGCAAAGAAACCCGAGCCTGGGTGGGCTGGGCCAACATGCTTGGCTCGTGGACCATGTACCCCCTTCTGAAGCGCGATGAGCTCCGCGTTCCTTATATAGTTATGACTTTGCTTTGGGCCTATCTTCTCGGCTTGCCTCCTACTTCTTTCGAGACTTACCGAAGTCGCCCATCCCCTGAAGACTCCAATGCCTACTTGGAGCCCAGCACTCTCACAACTCTCCTACACTTTGGCTTCTATTTGACCATGATTGCCTGGCATATGCTTGAGGCATTCGTACCTCCGCCGCCCGGAAAGCCAGATCTTTGGGTCGTTTTGAATGCCCTGATCGGAGCTGCTGGATTTGGGATTGCCTATCTGTGGTGTATGTGGAAACTATACACCCAATGTCGCCAGATCAGTCGGCAGGCTACCGAGGAGGAAAGCCAGAAAAAGAAGCAGTGATTGTTTGGCTAGGTGGATGGCTGTATGATTTTCAGTGATACCCCATATTATGTGATTATCCAAAATGAGGCAGTAGAACTCTTGTTTCATTGATATGTTTTATTAATATAATTGATTCGATTTGAAATTCGTTCTTTAAGAGGTGAGACGTTGTATTGGGAAACTCATCCCTATCATCCGGAGTGCTAAACTCTAGATTCCAATATGTTACAACGGAGCAAACATGCCCTAAAAACAGACGATATCCAGGTAAAACAAGAAACTCCCGCCAATGAATGCTATGGTACAATGTTGTATAGTGATAGTACAGCCGAGGCCATTGGGTCAGAGAACGAGTCTAGACCTTGAAGCCGAATCCAGCCATGCAAGTCTTGTACTGCTCGATCGTGGACTTGCACTCCTGCTCAGGGTTGTCGGACTTGGAGAAAAGCATACAGTCATCGCGAGCGGTCTTCTCGGGTTTGCAGACGCAGCAGGGCTAGAACGAAAGGCAGGGTCAGTCGCTTGTGCTTGTTGGTTCGGCACTATCGGGTCATACCTTGGGCTTCTCGGTCTGGGCTGGCTGAGCGGGTGCTTGCTCGGGGGTAGCAGCACTTTTCTCTGTAAATAATTGTGTAAGCAAAAGAAAGCCTTTCTCTGATATGTAGGACTGGCGCATTGCGCAAGCATTCGGCCCAGGTGGAAAGAGGCAGTGGTACATACCATTTGAAGAACCGAATAGCCAGGACATTGTGACAGATATGCAGATGTACTTGAATATTTAAGGAAATGGAAGACAGAAAACGAGTGTTAAGTACGTTGTGAATAAGTGCTTACAAGTGACCTGACACCATCGGACATTATTAATGGTTCGTGCAGCGTAACTGGTCTCTATGCGTTGCCGTGGTTATTTTTTTTTTTGTTATCAACAAACTTGCCTCCCCGGAGTCGCCTCCTCTTCTGCTACATTGACTGTTTCGGTTTTTTTCTTTCTTTCTTTAGATCTACTTGGGTCTCCTCACTTCTTGGATACCATCTGCCATTGAGCCTTCTCCTATTTATTTCTTTTTCTTATCTCAACATCCCACTTGGACAACTACCCCGCCATGGCCCCTCCCAAGGTCTTCTCCCTCGAGGGCAGAGTCCTCAAGCTCGACAGCGCAGAAGACATCAATGTGCACATTCAGCCCTTGATAGATAACACTGACTACACTGAAATCCGTCTCGGTGGAAACACCCTGGGCATTGGCGCCTCCGAGCGTCTGGCCGAGGTCCTGAAGACCCAAAAGTGCCTCGAAGCTGCCTACCTTGACGACATCTTCACCGGTCGTCTCCTGACGGAAATCCCCACTGCTCTGAATGCCCTCCTGAATGCCATCCTCAAGATCTCGACCGTCCACACCGTGAACCTTAACGACAATGCTTTTGGTCTCAGGACTCAGGCCCCGCTTATCGAATTCCTCTCGCGCCATGTGCCCCTCCGTCACCTTATTTTGAACAACAATGGACTCGGCCCTGCCGCTGGATCTCAAGTTGCCGATGCGCTGTCAAAGCTGGCTGAGCGCAAGGAGGAAGCTCGTAACTGTGGCGAGGAGGTTGGACTGCTGGAGAGTGTTGTCTGCGGACGAAACCGCTTGGAGAACGGCAGTATGGAGGCGTGGGCTCGGGCCTACAAGGCCCACGCGGCCGGTCTGAAGTCGGTTAAGATGACACAGAACGGTATTCGATCGGAGGGTATCTGCCACTTGTTGACCGAGGGTCTCTACCACGCGCATTCCCTGGAGGTTCTGGATCTGCAGGACAACACTTTCACCCATGTGGGCTCCACTGCTTTGTCAAAAGTCTTGTCCGGCTGGCCCTCTCTGCGCGAGCTTGGTGTTGGCGACTGCCTGCTCTCTGCCCGTGGTGGTGTCAAGGTTGCCCAGGCTTTGGCGGCCAACAAGAACCAGAAGCTCCAGACTCTGCGTCTGCAGTACAACGAGATGAAGGCGGAAGCTGTCAAGAACTTCACCCATGCAGCCAAGACTGCGCTCCCCAGCCTCCGTCGTGTCGAGCTCAATGGAAACATCTTCTCTGAGGAGGACCCTAACATTATTGACCTGCGTGAGCTCCTAGAGGCTCGACAGGAGGAGCACGGTACCGACGAGGACCCCGAAGATACTTGGGGTCTTGATGACTTGGATGAACTCGAAGAGGAGGATTCGGAAGAGGAGGAGGAAGAAGAGGAGGAGGAGGAAGAGGAGGAAGAGGCCAAGGCTGAGAAGGATCTCAAGGATGCCGAACGTGCCGAGGAAGAGAAGGTGGCTCAGAAAGATGACAAGGACGTCGATGAATTGGCCGATGTGCTGGGCAAGACGGCCCTCTAAACCTCTGGAGCTGTTGGACAATTGTCACTTCCATCAGTACCTGCCTTTCATCACGGATGTCTCATGGATTCAATGCCACGTTGATATCACCAATGGCTGAGAAACCACGCCCTCGGCTTACTTGGTGTCCTCTTGGCCATCCATGGTCCCTTTCCCTGTCCACGGCCACTCACAAGCTTCGGGTATGAGGATCTGACTGACGACGCTTACGCTTTACCTTCAAAAAGACCCCCATTTGTTATACCCCCAATCTACAATGATGAGATCCTAGCTGCACATAATTCTCTTTGCTTTGATCCATATTCTGTTTGCATAGCCATGGACCTCCGGTTTTCTTCGGAGGATACATAATCATATCGATGGAATACATATTTGGACAAGCAGGAACATTCAAATATAATTTTTCTACATGTAAACAAGTGTGTATACAAAGCTGCATATAGAAAGAAAAAGAATTTCCGAAAATGGAACGCAAGGCTTGGCGCGAACCTCGAACATCGCAGCTCATCAAATTCCACTTACCTCGTCGTCGGCTTTGACATATCCCACCTACCATACCTGTCTCTTCTGGCGCTTCCATTGCCGTCGCCTTTCCGCTCTTTGTTATCATTACAGTTCCCATTTCGCAACACTACATCGTTAACGCGACCGTAAAATATCTCCAAGTGAGTGCTCGCGCAAAACACCCCTCACTACATATTGTTTTTGCGCAATTACCCATTGCTATTCCTGGCGCAATGTGTATAACACCTTTTATACCATTGTTTACGAGCTGCTCTGCTTGTTTTGGCCAATTTTCCGAGAGCAAATGAGGGAGAAGGTGGACACGTGCAAATTAACAGCGTACCACCCTCACCCGCATGAGTCTCTATGGCGGGATATCTTAAGAGCCTTGTTTCGTGTGACGTTTGTTGAACTTATCTGTGCTCTATTACCGGTGATCCCAAAGGGACAAATGTGCTCGCCGTGGTTCTGCAGAATGCGCCAGCATCCGGGGCTTATAAAGACCCTGTGCTCCAAGCTTTTACGATGACATACTAACAGTTGTCGCTTATAGGTCGCGTGGAACTTTCTCAGCCGGTCCTCGATCAACTCCAAGCATTCCGATCGAATTATCCCTCTACCCCGCACAACATGGCGATGGACGCCAAAGAGATCGAAGCTAAGGCCAAGGCCTTGGGCAAAGCCGCGACGTCGAACGAGTCTTCCGCTGTGATTCTAGGCCTCCTAAAGGATATCCAAACCGGGGTCCGGGCAACCGAAGATCTCCTCCGACAGACGCGCATCGGAATCATCGTCAACAAGTTCAAGCAAAGCAAGACTCCCGAAATTGCGCGGCTCTCCAGCGAGATCGTCTCCAAGTGGCGGACCGAGGTGAACAAGCAGAAGCAGGGCGGCGGTACAGCAGCCAGCCGGGGGTCGAGTGGTTCTCCGCGACCAGCACAAAACGGTACAGGAGCGTCCACCCCAGCCGCTGCTACGCCCTCAGACAAGGCGTCGAAGCTGTCCGTGCCTCCGGATAAGCGAACCTGGAAGGCAGACGGGGCGGAGATCAATCACACCGGTAACCGAGTGCGTGACAGCTGCACAGGACTGATGTACGATGGGCTGTGTGTTGGGTCGTCTGAGTCTGTGAAGGTTGTTCTATCGCGCGCCATTGCAGTGGAAATTTCCGCATACAAGTACCTGGGACCGGAGACGAAGGAGGAATACCGCACGAAGATCCGCAGTCTTTTCCAGAATCTGAAGAACAAGTCCAACCCGAAGTTGCGCGTGCGCGTTGTCGAGGGAGAAATTACCTCTGAGCAATTTGTGCGCATGAGCCACGACGAGCTACGCTCTGTTGAGCAGCGTGAGGCGGATGCCAAGATTCAGAAGGAGAATATGGACAAGGCTATGGTTGCCCAGCAAGAACGCAGTATCAGTAAGAGTTTGCAGTGCGGCAAGTGCGGTCAACGCAAGGTTACCTACACCGAGGCTCAGACTCGTGCGGCTGATGAACCGATGACTCTGTTCTGCACGTGTCTGAACTGCGGCAAGTCCTGGCGACAGTGAGCTCGGTCGTCCGAATAGCTGCGCGAGCGGAAATGTATTATTCTTTGGGACTCGGTGTTTCTTTCTTTTGCTTTTCTCTCTATGTTTTCATTCTTTCTATCAAGCCCAGCTATGAAAGCCGCGGGAGTTTCACAGTGGGCCTTTGATTTATGTCTTCTACGTCTGTTTCTCTTGAAGCTCATCTGGGCAAATGGATGGGGAAACAGTGAACTATCTACCAAAATCCAGATATCCCAATTACCCAACTATCCTAATGTTTGATCCCATTGTTTTGATACTACTACATTAATAGTAGATATCAACAATATCAACAAACACCAACGTCATATTTATGTCAGTACCTCCCGACGTCCACCGCCATATCAAATCCAAGTCCATAGAGCCCAATTTCCCTTCCAATGCCACATCTACACCAAGCCAAAAGTATTCCATCATGACTACACGCCCAGACCTCCTGAAACCAATCCACGCCCTCCTAGAAGCCCTGACAAACCCAGACCCAACAAACCCCAACAAACTCCTCTCAACCTTCACAACATCCCCAAACCCTCTAGCCCACGAACACGGTCTCCCGCAACTAGCTCCCTTCCTGGGCCGTCCATTCACCGGCCAAGATGGGGTAGCAACTTACTTCGAGCTCATCACCTCCCTCCTCTTTATTAAGAACATGGTATTCGAGCCCGATGAGAACTGGGTGGTTGATAAGAGTTGCATGGCTGTTTCTCTGCGTGGGACCGCAACGTTTGGCTGGAAGGAGACGCGGCAGGCGTGGGATGAGACGTTCGTTTATCGCATTAAGCTTGCCGTTGATGGTGGGCCTGGGGAGGGGAGGTTGGCGGTTTGCGAGTATCATGTTTGGGCGGATACGGGGGCTGCTTATCTTGCTAGGCTTGGGAAGTTAGGGGATTTAATGAATTCTAAGGGTGGTGGTGAGGGGATTTATGTGGATTTTGATGCGGAGGGTACAAGGTAGAATATATATATATCGGCCAACAGCCAAGACACACACTGAAAGTATTACCAATCATAAGGAGATTATCATTATTGGGAGATTTTTCTAGATAGGTGCAGATGGTATAATGCACGTATTCTAAACCAACTGCCGTTTTCACCATATTATTCAATAAGATCGGGGGCAGCCTATCCCTCAAAGACGCTGTGGTTAAGCTCAACCCCCATATCCTTGGCCATGTTCTGCATCTGGGCCTCGATATCATCCTCCATACCCCCACCTAGATGCAAGAACTGGCGCACCTTGGTGAAATAAAAGAAGATGTCTGTACTAAACAGCACCATACGGAAGATCAAATGGCGACCGATGTTCCGGATCTTCTCGACCAGCGGCAGATCCGGCGACTCAATGAGCGCACGCGAAGCCCAGATACCAGTAATCTTAACGCGATTCACCGGCGAGCCCAGGAACTGGTTATTTCCTTGGACGATGCGCAGATTGCGACCGATGAAAATCAGCTCCTGTGGCCACTTGGTTTCATCGCCCAGCATATCGCGGATCGCCTTGCGCAGCTTTTGCTGCATTTCGAAGGACCGCTCTGCACGCTCCGACTTACTTAGTCCCTGGAGGCCGCGCTGCGTAGACATGTCTCCGCCGCTGTAGGGGCGCATTAATGTTGCTGACGCGAAGAAATCTGGGTTGTTCACGCCCCAGCCCTTGACAATCTCGCCCAGCGTGCGATTGTCAAAGGTGAGGAGGGCTTTCCAGAACCGCGCATATTGGTGTCGGAATCCGGGTTCCATGTGGATATACAGGCCGTGGTCGATCAGAACCAGCTCTGGCCGTCCGTCCGGCTTGCGACGGATGAAGATGTTGCCCGGATGCGGGTCGCAGTGGACGTATCCCCATAGGAACATCTGGGCAGAGAACAGATCTACCATGGTTGTCATCACTTCCTTGAGCGACAGTCCCAGTCCGCCGCGGTTGTTGTGGCCGCGCCAGTAATCGCGCTGTGGCTTGGTCCTCGATGCGCGCAGGTTTCGATCTGCAGCATTCCCCTCCGGCTGGTCAAGTGGTGTACCGTGACAGCCTGGACTTCCCTGACGCCAGCCGCCGCGCCAGGGCCGCGTGATAGCGTCTTTGTCCCAGAGGCGTACGCCTTCTACCCATTCGGCAGTCATGACGCGCTTCGAGCTCAGCTCACGATATACACGAGGGACATACACGCGATCGCGCAAGCGAGGTTCAGCGGCCACGAGCTTGGCCATGTTTTCCGAGTTATCTGCTTCGTTTACGAAGTCTGTTTCGAGCGATAGTCTCTCACTGATATAGGGAACGAGACTGTAGAAAGGGATGTCGAACACCTTACTATAGATGAAGGTCACAACTCTATTGGTTTCAATATCAGCATAACATCCTTCGGCTCGAACTCGAACAACTCACTTGAAAGCCCAGAGATCCCATGCCAATTGCTGCACGATCTCGCGTTTTTGGATCTTGATCGCGACCTCCCTACCATCCTGCAGACGAGCCCAATGGACCTGTGCAACACTGGCGCTAGCTCGGGCTCTGCGCTCCATTGTGCCCTTGTCAGGTTCGCCCGTAAACGAGATACCGAATACCTCCTCAGGCGACTTCCCAAAATCCTCACGGATGACCTTCTCCACATCCTTCCAATCATTCTGAGGTGCATCATCAAACATGCGGGAGAACATATGCTGGAACTCAGGGGGTAGGATGGCGGATTGCATCGCAATCGCCTGGCCCATCTTCAGATAGAGACCGCCATTATATCTCAGCAGATCCGACAAGCGCTCTGCGTTGCGGGCGTGCACGGCAGCAATAGAGCTGGCCAATGGCGGGTGTGGGCGGAAGTTTATTTTGTAGTCGAGGGCGACGACTAGACCGAGGGAAAACGTTCGGGCTGTTCGGGTCAGCGATGAGGCGTAGAACTGGCTGTCAATGCCGTAGGCGACGCCTGTTGCTAGTGAGATGTAGATGATTCGGCGGAACCATTTGATGGTTCGTTTGTAGGTTTTTGCTTCTGTGGGTTTCCCCAGGGAGCTTGGTGACGGTGGTACGAAGGGTTGGAATTGGCTTGAGTGAGCATATCGGTGCCGCCAGATTGAGGGACGGATGGTGGGCCGCAGGGAGCGGAGAAACGTCGCGTGCGCCATAGGAAATGGAGAAGCGGATGCCGAGTTACTGCATGGCGGTATCAAGTCCAACCTGATCTGAGAAGGTAAAGTAGTGAGAGTCCTGTGGATGTGTCAAATAAAGCCCAAGAGAAGTTCCGCTTCTCATCCACGGTAGCTCCGCGCGGAGTCGGAGTCGGGGGAATTCCACGCCCTCGCTGATACATCACCATTTGTTCTTACTCCATTTCCCTCACCAAATATGTATATCTACATACTACACTACACCACCATTTCTAGGTTAATTACTTCTAAAAAAAAATGAGTAAGCTTAATACCCGCATAATGGATTGCTCGCTTAATATTTTGTACAGTACCTCTTAGCCTTCCGGATGGAAGTACCACGCATTATCAGGTCATTATCAGGTCGACCTGCGTACGTCTGCCTACCTCTAAATAGTGGCACACTACGAACTCCGGACCTTCCGATGTACCTGCAAATACTCATGAAATATGACTGTATATTCCCGGGTTGGGAAGGCGGTGCGAAATCTCCTTTTACATCAATCTTATGAGTACTCAGTGGTGTCACTTTCATCCATCAACCATTTTCAAGTACCTTCTTATAGGCCGTCTGCAGCGCCTGTTCGGATCCGCTACGGGCCTCGCCCGCCCAGCTTTATGCCGCGACGTTTGACGTACGTTCCACCCGTCCTCAGCTCACCATGGCTTCGCGACGCGAAATCAATAGCAGTGAAGAATCAGCTGGCTCTGGAGCGTCATCCATTGCACGAGATACTAGAATTACTTGTCTTTTCTTGGATGCAACAGAACTTGAACTGGAGACAGACTCAGCCATTCTCCAGCGATCGCTCAGCTTGACATCCGTCATTTTGACAACCTCCTCTTTCAGCCGCCGCTTCCAAAGTGCGCGGTTTCGACCCGACCTGCAGGAGATCAATCAAATCGGCAGTGGCCTACAAGGTGTCGTCTTCGAGGTGATTGAGAAATCCTATGTTCTCAAAAAAGAGAGTCCAGGCAATGAAGCACGATCCTCAAATATCCGGCGCGAGTATAATACCCACTGCGATGTTTCAGCCGCATTCGAACACTACCGACACGCAACCCACAACATGGTCCACGTTCCTAAACCCCACAACTTTATGTTCAAAACACAAAACGACGCGTTCTGGGGTAAAGTCTTTCCGAAAATGCCCCAGGCTTACCGTATGCGCGGGAACGTCATCATCATGGATCGGATTCTTCCATTACCGAAGGTCGTACGAAAAGCGCTCGTCACCTATTTCTGTGGTCGCGAACGGGATCTTAGTATCACTGACATCGAATCCCTTCTCAGTAACCCCAGCAACAAGCACTGCCTCGTCCGAGTCTATTTGGGTAAAGCTAATGGTTCGCTCAATCAGGATAACCCAGCTCCGCTCAGAAATTTCCCTCTCCACCTCGGTTTCATGAAGGAACTTGGCATCGATACCCTTGCGCTTGCTAAGGAAATGGGCAAGGCATATGCAACCTTACACTGGGGCGCCGCCACAAACGGTGATGATGTGGAGTTCGTGCTTGGCACATCAGCCTCAAGAGGAGCCGAGGGCTTTCGTGGAGTCTCCGGACTTTCAGCATCGCGCCATTGGACTCTATCTTTTGGACTTCGGCCAATGCGAGGCGGTTGACTTAACGCAGGATTGTGATGTCATTTACCAAGCGTTCAAAGGGGCTATGGTAACGGGTGATAATCAGCTTTTTATCCCACATTCCTCGACTAGCCCGGCATTGTTCGCAGCCTTCAAGAAGGGATACATTGATACCGGTAGTGTCATTCTATCAGCCAAGCAGATCACTGACAAGTTTAGCATGGAAGATTTCATGCAGGAGTACGAGGAATATGCTGAGAATCTCGTGTATTAGCTAACTCGCCGTGCATTCGAGGATACAATCGGCCATGAAAATGGACCGATGGTTGAAGTCTAGCTCGTCGTTTTATCTCTTGAATCATTTTCCAAAATCCTCTCGCTGCTTTCGAATAGAAGGGAATTAAATTCATAGCCCAGCTTCCTGAGGACTGACTTAAAGAGGAGAAAAGATGAGTGATCTATCAAAGACCCGGGGAAATAGCTGACCACAATTTCCGATGAATTCAAGCACCCAGGGAATGATAGCGGCACGACATAGTCCAAGAAGTATGAGTGGTTAGACTTGTTTCGCCTCAAACCGTTTGTAATTAGTAGATACACGCACTGGACTTAGCACGGGTTTGAGGTTAGGTCTTCTATGTTCGGGTGAGCAAGGTAGAGGTTACGTGACGGTGTATTAGGGCGCCAACCCGGAAGAGAAACAAACTAATCGGAACAGGGAATTCACAGGTCCGCTGTATACATGTACAATACTATTTACACTACTTACTTTCAGATCCAAATATAAGTCATAATTCATCATGGTCATTAGACCCCAAAGTGTCACACACTTTCGCATAATCCCTCATATTCTGAGGAATCGTAATATCCCACAGCTCGTCACTCTCCAAAAACCGAAGTTGCTCCTTGCACGATTCCTCCGAGGCCATTGGGATCAAAGTAGGAAGATGCTTGATCGAAGCCTTGAGGAAGTTGCGTTTGAAGCAATTGCCAAACCCAGCCAGAGTCTCTGAATCAGAGCAGATATGCACTCCACCACCTAGCATTGGTCCACAGCTATCCTTGATCTTGAGCGCAACATCGTCGCCCATTTTCAGCAGAGCGTCTTCCTTGTGGGGTACATTCATGCGCTGCATCAGGCTGCGAACGGCGGGGACGAAGGTGTTGTTGCGCGTCCATAGATCCCAGTGAGGGACGGTCGGCTGACATCCAACGTCGCAGATTTCACTCTGGAATTTATCGAAGAGGTGGCCTGGTCGGCTAACCAGTGCGGAGACCACTTTGAAGCATGATGTGCCGATTGCTGTGACAGGAGAGAAGAACAGGAGGACGAGGAATAGGCGGTCGAGGAATAGGCGGTCGAGAAAAAGACGCATTGTATGAGATATAGAGGAAGACCTCTGAAGATGATGTAGAGAAGGTTGACAGGCCAATTTTGTCAGGGGAAGTGGTTCCCCCGCATTTGTGGAGAACTTCGGAACTTCACTTCTTTATGATATCGGAGATTCGGGGAGTCTCAGGGAGATTCAAAGAGATTCAAGGCTATACATCAAACCCTTTAGGGTATCTCCAACATTCCCTTCTCTGGCCATGAAAGCCTCTAATTGTAACTCTAGTGACTCTATGGAAACACCTATAAATCTCGAAGAGGTGGACTCTCTCGAAGCTATTGTTATCATCGACAATGAGCTAGATCCGCTCTCGCCCCCAGCCCCGGATACCGTCCAAGTCTCAGGGAATCTGGGGGCAATTGCCATGGGCTCAAATCATAGACTGACAGACCGTGGGGAGGCCTACAAGGAATTAAGGCTGGAGGATGTTTGCTGTGCAGCACATGGCTTGTCGATTCTGGTGGTAAGGCGATGTTCTACCATTGAACTTTTGAATGCGGTTCTATATTAAGCCTATCATATATAGACTGCCACTAAAGGCGACAAGAAGCACGCTATTCTCTTCGATGCGGGTCCTGAAGAGGAGGCTTGGGAGAGGAATGTGAAACGACTGCGACCAAATCTCTCCTCCGTGGAAGTAATTCATCTGTCGCATTGGCATCGAGATCACTCCGGTTCGTGATTCTAAACAACGGACACTCTCACGCATATTCTCTACAACGGTTCTAACCTTCGTGTAGGTGGTCTTCTGCGAGCAATCCGCATGATAAACGATGCCAAACGAGCTGAGAGCCGCTCTGAGGATCTAGTCATGGACTTGCACCCAGACCGACCGGTCTACAGAGGCATTGCTCTACCCGAGCATATCATTTCCCTCGAGGCTGACCCTACCTTTGAAGAGATTGAAGGTGCAGGTGCGGTGGTCGACAAGCGGAGCGAGCCACACACCGTACTTGATGACTTTTTTCTTATCTCTGGGGAGATTCCACGGGTGACGCCGTACGAGACAGGTCTGAAGAATGCAGTGCGATATGACCCTGATGAGAATGACTGGTTCTCTGACGAAGTCATCATTGATGAGCGTTCGCTCATCTGCAACCTCAAGGGTATACCCACCCTAAAGCCCACTTACAAACTTATTGAGCTGACATGTTCTTCAGGAAATGGACTGGTTGTTTTCACTGGATGTAGCCACGCTGGTGTAGTCAACACCACCAAACACGCCGTCCAGCTCACCGGTGGGAAGGTACCTGTCCATGCGGTTGTCGGTGGATTTCATCTCGCCACAAGCGATGCGGATCAAATCCAAAACACCGTAGCCGATTTGAAACGACTTGATCCCGCCGTGCTCATGCCAGGTCACTGTTCGGGCTGGCGGGCCAAGTTTGCGATTGAGAAACACATGCCCGGGTCATTGGTACCCTGCACCGTAGGAACAAAAATCACATTCTGATTTTTGTTACATTGGTTGTTATCTGAAACATGATACTCGGTGTGGACGCAGGGTCTTGATGCGAAACCACATGGCATGTGTTGCTCGGAGCAACGAGTCTCATCAAGGGGCTATCTCCTCATCGCCTCGGCATAACTTGTTCGAATCAGATTCCAAATTCTGGCGTCACTCTATCTCCTTGCTGCATTTTCTTGCGATCGGAAGAATGCGGATGGACGTCGATGACCGTTTTAGACTTATGATAGGTAGTAAGCGTGAAATGCTAATGCGAATGATACTGAAACACATGCAGTCAAGCAGCGTAGGCATTGATGCTTGCGGGTTTGGTTGTAGTGCCAGCTTCTATGCAGTTTTGAGGGATATATATCAGAAAAAAAACAATTGCAACTTCCACTACAAATTCTCAATTAAATTAGATAATAAGAAATTTGGAGCCGCATGGTCGTTGATATATATTGTATATCCAAGCAATTATATGCGAACAACTTTGATTCCGTTTGATCTCGATGTTCCAATTTGCAGCAATTGATCTTTAATACCGCGCATCCGCCGAAAGCGTTCGATGTACATGTTCTACAAAGTATAGAATGTAGATATAACCTCTATCCACTACATCAAATCTTGATCAAACCCCCCAAACCTACATTCAACTCACATTCTCATGCATGTTTAGTTCTACGCCCACATCCAGATAAGTCATAAAAGCGCCTCACCATTCACAAAATACAGATAGTATACAGTGTAACCCCAGGGGGGCAACTACACCTACGGACGCCCGGCTGGGGTCAGCTGCGCTAGTCCTCCACGGGCCTCTCTCCGTGCATTGTTTTACAGCCAAGATGTCTTGGTAGTAAATATCTATCGAACCTTCAAGACACAGCATACAGCTATCCAAACCAACAACCAGTCGCCGTCTTGGCCGAAGAAAATCCCTCAGCGGCAGAGTAAGCCTGTAAGCCGAAGCGTTGGCATAATCGGCATGAACAAATCTAAATGCGCCCCTGACAGCGCCACGATCCCCTCACAGGCGACAACCCCGATAAGAAGCACGTCCCTGGATTCCCCATTGCTACATACTTATGTGGATTATGGAGGAATACAAGCATGCACACTGCCACCGCCAAGACGAAAACACAACAAGCATTACCAACAACACTCGCTGTCGACTCCCTTTCCTCTCCACCCCGCCCCATCACCGAAGCCCGAATGCATCTCACGCCGACTTGATAGAAAAAAAAAGGGGCTGGTCAGAGGCCAAATGTTCGCCAAGACGATAATGCGGGAGGAAGGGATGCACGGCGTGGCTTGGCGTCGGTGGACAGGTGCAAGATGAGGGCGATCAGCCGATCAAGGGAGAGGGGTTGATTCCTAGCATTGTGCGATAGACAAAATATAGACTTGACATCATTGAATGACTTTATCGTATCATATCATATGGAAGGCTACATGCCAAGGATGTCTTTGAATAGCGTCTGTTTCGTTTTTTGGGGCTCGGCGCCAAGGATTGTTTGGAGGAGACAGGGATGAGACGCAACCATCGGGATGATTTGCGCGCATTGATTTTGAGACTTGTCGATGGTTCTTGCTACTTTCTCCATTGTATCTGAACATATGCCCAGGTGTGATCTGTACTATCGAAGTACTTCATACAGAGTATACTCTGCCATTATGGGGTAAATCGGTATTTGAGTATGCAGGTCATCCAGACTCCGATTCACAGCAGACTATTGATAGTCCAAGACAATGAGAACAAGGATGAAGTCGATCATACACCCCGTTCTGACCTCAGCTTCTCATACATGGGCAATGCCCAGTAACCATATTGCCTAGCCAAGAAGCTCTAGTGAAACCGAGCAGTGAAACTCGAGCATAATTGCTCTCCCATTCTATTGTCGGATCTTGGCTTTTACCTGTCTATCGTCGATCATGGAGTTTAATCCCACATTGGTGTCCTATCCCATTGGCAGGACCACTCCAGTATCCAACCACTCACCGCGACGAATGCTATCTATAGACAATAACATGCACGCCAGGCAGCATGGTGATCCCCCAGTATCCCCCACGAATCTATCCCTGTCTTCCTTGGCATGCCGGGGACAAGGTATCCCAGGATAAGCTCACAGTACCCTAGTATACAGTACCTGTAAGACCTGGAACACAGCAACAAAGCCATGTTGAACCAGTGTTTGAGCCATATTATGCGGCCTCGACTCCGCCCCCCGGGATTTGCAACAGGTACCGGCAGAGATTGATAATCGGTACTGGATGATCGGGGACTTTAACGGTGGCTATGCAGATGTGTGGACGCACGAAGGCACATAATAGGAAAGAAATTATCTCGTAGCCTAGCAGGCAGTCTCGAATCTCCTAACAATAGTAACAAGAAGCAACTAGCAACTGCTATACGAAGTACTGCATTCGGTAGTTCGT